AAAAATAATGTGCAAGTGAGAGAATGAAAATTGCAAAAGTGGCAGTGTTTGTACCAAGTGCCGAGACGGTAACCGGCTCGGTTTCGTATTTAAATTGTGTTTTTTTTTCTTTTTTTTTCTGTGGTTCAACGCGCGTATTTTCGTGGCCAGCATTCTTTTCAGTGTAACACCTGCGCGAGTTTCAGTGAGGAGGAAGACACAAGTAAAGCGCATTCGCCGATTGGACTTGCATAAGGCGGCAACGGCAGAGTGAGTGAGATCATCATATATTTTTCTTCGTTATGGAATTTCGACGGCCGCAAACTGCGCCGTTAGATTTCCTTTACTCCTTTTCTCTTGTACTCTTGAAGCTTGTATGTAACTTAACTGCTCTCTTAGGGGAAGTAATGTATGGAATGCAAGCGTTTGGCGGGGTTTGTTTTGATTGATTGGGAATAGAAATGATTGGAAAATAGAAAATGAAACAGCTTAAGTTGCCTTTAATATTTTAATTTAAAATTCCTATTTACATTAACATTTTTTTTTTATTGTGCTTCAACACGCGTATTTAATGACCATCATTTTTTTCAGTGTAACACCTGCGTAAATTTCAGCGAGGAAGAGACAAGTAAAGCGCATTCGCCGATTGGACTTGCAGAAGGCGTAAACAGCAGAGTGAGTGAGAAGATCATATATTTTTTCTTGTCCTTTTCTTTGTTATGGAATTTCGACGGCCGCAGACTGCGCCGTTAGATTTCCTTTACTCTTTTTCTCTGATACTCTTAAAGCTTGTATGTAAGTTAACTGCTCTCTTAGGGGAAGTAATGTATGGAATGCAATCGTTTGGCGGGGTTTGTTTTGATTGAATGGGAATAGAAATGATTTGTAAATAGGAATTGGAACAATTGGAATTGATAAACTTAAAATTTATTAATTACTATTTTCATAAATTTACTCTTGTAGGGTATTATTATTTTAATTAGAAGGAGTAATTTTCGACCCTATACAGTATAGCACATATTTCTCTCATTTATATCTCAAATATTGCAATTTATTGACCCTGACCCTCTCCAGGATGCATCTATTAATTATTATCCGCTCAAATATTGCATAATATCGACCCTGACCCTCTGGGATGCATCTATTTATCATTATCCCTTGGACTGCATGCAATGTATCTCATTATTGAGCGTGGCTAATTTGCCCGCAGAGGTCAAGGAGTCAATACGAGGGCCAGTATGTAGCCCCCTCTCGCTCTGGCACACGTCGCAGGACCAGCAGGACGACCCGCACTCCAAAAAAGACAATACAAATACAATGGCAAAAGAGATCCTGGCGGAAAGTGAAACCAGGATCGATACACAGCGAGCGACTGACACACGCTCTGTCCCTTCGAAAATGCGACAAATTCAAACAGTTTTTGTTTGGTTTTTCAGTTTTTTTTTTATTTCATCTTGACATTGTATTGTTCGAGTTTGAGTCAAAGTTCCCAGACGACATCCTTTGTAATTGGATCCTTTTACGTCCCCGAGATCCGAGATCCCTGCGCGTGTGAAGCGCAACGACTGCGCGTATATCTATTTTCATGTTCATTTTCATTTTCATTTCTATTTTTTCGCTGCATAAAAAACGGTGAAACTGAAAACGAATCCGAGGGATACTTTTCCTTTTCCACCCGCACTTCTAAGGGTCGCTGGCTATGGCGTTCGCCGTGTAATTTATGCCAAATATAGCCGCGATAGCAGCGAATGTTTGTCGATTCTTTTTTTTTTGGGTGTTTACAGACATCACGTTTTCCCTGTCTCCTGTCCGCTGTCCTCTGTCCTGTGTCCTTGTTTCCATATGGAAAAGTGACAGTTGCAGATCCGCCTGGCGATAAGAAAAGTCTCTGTTTGGGGGGCTGCCAAGGCTTAAGAATTTCCACCTTTTCCCGGTAAATAAGATCGTGCACAGGGAAAAATTTGAGAATATTGTAATAAGAGCAGGGAAATGGGTTTATGTTTGGGGGTTTTTCTTGGGAAAGAATTGTGTGATAATAAATTTATTCTTTAAAATATTATATATGTTTTTATAAGGTTAAGCATGTAAAATGTCATTAAATAGTAAAAGAATTGTAGGTTTATATATATTTATTATATTATTATATCCGCTTGAATATTAATAACAAAAATAACTAACTAATATTCTGTTTTTTAACAAAATAATCCAAATTGTTGCAATATTTTGGGGAAAAGCTCCTAATAAATTCCCCCACATATTTATTAACGCTTTCCAAATTATAAATTAAAACATTTTCATCTTAATTCAAAAACAAAACCAAAGGAAACCCTATTAAAAAATCAAAAAACCAACATTCCCTTCGAAAACTGCCAAGAATGTCATCGGCTTAAATGGATTTTCTTCCTTAAAATCCCGAAAAAAATGTTCTCAATTTAATTTTTTTTTGTTTTCCGATTTGCGGGGGGGAGAAAAATGCGTAAGGACAGGACAGGAAAAGCAGAAAAATATGGCCCACCCTTGGAAACCGCAACGCGAAAATTCAGTAGAGCGGGAAAACACATTGCAGGCAACGCACACAAATATAGAAGCTCCGCGCCTGTCGCATTTTTAACGCTTTTTAGCATAAACAAGGACATCTATGGGGGGTTGGTGAAAATAACCAAAATATATATATATAATATAGTAAGGTTTCCACTGCAGCTTTAACTTTATTTTCCGGTTTTTTTTTCGGTCGCTTTCAACCCCTGGACGACAGCTACAAAAAATTTGCATGCGGCCTGTCGCGTTGTTCTGCTGCGAAATTGCCAGATACTTCCACTTCCACTTCCACATTTTAATGCCACATCCACTTTTAGCTTACACTTTTAATAATGCACAATGCGTGTGTGTGTGTGTGTGTGTATGAGTGTGCGTGTGTGCTGACAGAGGCCGGGGAGGGTGGTGTCTTTTGGGGTGTTTTCGATAAGTACTTTACGAGACAACCCTCGTTTTGCGGATTTTTTTATGGCCCTCCTTCAGGGGCGCAACATCAAAGTTCATATCCTGCTTCCGGGAGGGGAGTTGGAAAAATTCCCTCTCTACCGGAGTTTTCATTTCCCCGGGGTGGTGCAAAAATTGGAAAGGTAGTGAGAAAACGCTTGGCATTGGCTGTCTCCGTGCGAATTTGCAGTTTGCAAGGCGAGTCCTTTGGCCTTTTGGCGAATCGCATTGGCGATTTTGCAAGTTTTTGCCAGGATTTTAGGGGTTGTCATCGGACGGGGTGGTGACTTTTGCCAGGGGTGAGGGCTTAGGATTGGCGAATCATTGGCAAAAATACGGAGAGAAAACCAATAAGGTCGGTTTCTTAAGAAGAAGCTTGTTGTTTAAGGCTTATTATTGAGGTAATGTGGTGATTTCAGCAACTTTTTATAGCTTTTTAATTGTCTGTAATAAAAGAAATAAGAATGGTCATTGTAAAAGGGGCTTTAACTGTGGTTTTTTGGAATTTTATGGCTAGAAAATAGGCCTCAAGAGAAGATATATGATATTTTTTGCTTTAAAATTGAGTTTGGGATATTATAAAGGAAGAGAAATACCATAAATTATGAAACATAAATAATAAAGCAAGTAAAACCCGCTTAAAAATTACTTTAATGTGATTATTATGAATATTTTCTTAAATAATTTAAAAAATACAGAAAGCTAGTTTAATTATTACCGTCACAATTTCAAAAGGACACCTTATAATTAGTGTATATAAAACTATTTATAAATGTTCCCAAGAATGATCTAATTAATTTTTAGGCAATATATAATATTCACCAACAGCCAGTCAAATCCTAAAATATTAATCAAATAAATTACTTTACCAAAAAAAATTTGCATAAATAAAATATTTGCCAAAGAAAAGGTTATCCAAGAAAGCCTGAGCCTTTCTAAGAACCCAAAACCAAAGCCTGTCCTGGAAGAATTAACATAATAATCAAAGCAAATCAAAAGGATGGAAGTCCCTCTTTGGCATAAAATATATGCAAATGAGTGAAAATCAATCGAAGGCTAAATGAAAATCGATCAAAATTGATTTGTTGCCCGGTGTGCAGAAACCCAAACACTGCCCCTGCTCCTGCTACTGCTGCACCCTTTGATCACTTAGGACTCACTCGCCAGGACATTTGCCGAAGGAGCCAAGGAAGGAAGCGTGAGAACGTCTCCTTTTTGCACGCGTGATTTACATAATTTTTCGTAAATGTAAATTGCATGCACATCTCATATCCCTATGCAAATGAGCGGCGACTATCGCCGTCCCTGTTCAACCCCCTGCTGCCAGTCAGGACACAGGACCTTCTTCTAAGGACTCTTCGGGACTCTGGCCCTCAGGTGCGAGCGTATTGGCATGCTGTGAGCAAGGCGCCGCTGTCGTCCACTGTGCCCGTAATTAACCCCTGTCTCTCTGCGGCATTTCCCTTTTCCCTAACCATTTTCCTGCCCATTTTTCTTCCTTTGGTTTTCACTTTCTCTCCCTCTCTTACTCGCTCTGGTCTTTTGGCAGTCTTTCGCAATAGCCGAGGCTTCTTATGCAAATGAGTGTGCCGCATCCTCACCCCTTTTCGCCAAGTGAAAATCTTATGCAAATTTTCCTCTCCTTCCGCTGATCTCCGCTCCAGTTTGACTGCAATGCGCCTCTGGGTGTCAGGTAGAGTGCGAACATCCTTTTGCTCAGATCGTGAGAAAGTTGGAAAATTTGCATAATTTTGTTGTGAAAATTCGCCGAGGTCTACGTGATCACAGCAAAGACAGCAGAGATCGGTGATCCCAAGAGGCACCCAATACAGATTGCAATTTTCCTTAATCATTTTCAGGCATAAATATGGAAACAGGATTATTTAACAAACTATTTTTATCCTTGTATTTAAATTAGCTTCCTCAAGAGAGGTTTTTCTTTTAGGTGTAGTTAATATTTTATTTTGTAATGACTTGTTTGGATATAATATGTTTAAGCAAAATTTATAAATATATAAAATGTTATAGAAATATATGCCAGGTTAATTCTCGTCGGAACTGCTGCTGCTGCTTAAAGATAGATCCCTGGTAAGGACATTTCCCGATGCCAGGAATTGGGGATTCTTCGGATTTGATTGATTCTTGCTATTCATAGCCGACGATTTGTTGCTAGTGGTTGGTGATTCGTTGTTGGTGTTGTTGTTGTAGTTATTGTTGTAGTTTTTGTTGTTGTTGGTGTAGTTATTGTTGTTATTGTTGTTTTTGTGATTATTCTGGCAGTTATAGTTGTTGTAAACGTTGTCGACTTCGTATTCGTCGTCGTCATCATCGGTACTGGAATCCACAAGAGCCTTGAACTTTGCCAAGAGTTGCTCAGTTTTTGCCAGAGGTTCTGGCGGTAGAAGACGAACTCCACCACGACCACGTCCACGTGAAGGGTAGTCGCACCTGGAAAGCCTTTCGCCTGTGTGTGTCCATTGGTTTTCAGAATATAATTTTTCAGGAGGTACCAACTTCAAGTTGCCTTTAGATTGGGTCATACGGTCTTGACTTTCGGAGGCTTTGCGGTTGAACGGGCCTCCAGCGGAAATGGGAAACTTTCCGTATGGGTTCTGGGAAGACTCTGGCACCCTGTGGCCTTCCTTCTTTGATTTTCCACTTTTGTGACCTTTGGAATATATATCTATAGGCAACTCTGGTATATTTGGGTTTTGGTTTGAGTTCAACCAGGTCGTCTTCCTTTTAATTTCCCCACCTAATGAAGTCTCTCCATCTGAGCGGTAATCTGCCGACTTGGACCTCTTCTTGCCCCTACATTGGTTGCCATTGGCTTTGAAACTATAGTTATTCTTCCCGCTGGACTTGCGGCGATTGTGGCCAAGGCGCCCGGCATTGTCCATCTCATCGGGCGGCAGATAGATCTTGCCATTGAGCTTCAAAGCCCTGGCCACCGCCGCTTTCATGATCTGGGCATTTACCAATTCGAAGTTGTTAAGATCAAAGTTATAAGCACCATTGTTATCGCTTATTAGAACCTCGTTGGCATGGACTATGCCGCATATTTCACGCATCGCCGGACCGGGAAGCGTGCAGAAGAGCATCTGAATGTGGCGTCGCTCATCCTGGTCGATAGGTTCCAGTTTCGGGTCATCCTCCGACAAACCAGCATCCGGTGTGTCCACCAGAAACTCAAGGCCCTCGGTCGGAAGGTAGAGCCCGGCAGGAATCTCCTTCTCCTGAACAATAGTTGAGTTCTGTATGTTCATATTTGTGTCCTGGGTAGCAATCGCTGTCTCGATGACCTCCAGTTTAACCTTGAACTGGCCTATGGTGTTACATAAAGTCTCAACCAGAGCCTTCACCTTATGGGGCTGCTTCATGCACTGAGTAAGGCTGTTTTGGGCAAACTGGAAGGTTCGCATTAGGTCAGTCGCCTCCGCTCTCGAAATGGTAATGTAGGAATCTGAGGTGGACCGGTTGGAGGTGACAGAAGAGTGGGAGATGGAGTTATTATTCACTTGATAGCCACCCGGCTGATCGTAGACCTTCTCATAGATTGTTTTAGCCTGATCGTGATACTTTTTGAACATGCCATCCACATGGAAGCGGAACTCTTCGAGTGACTTGAAGAACTGCTTGTCCAGCTTGGCAGAGAAAGAGTTCCACTTGGGTCCAAAGAAATTGCGGGCCGTGGCCTCCGCTTGGTTGGTGAAGGTCTGAAGCTTTCGCAGCTGATTGCGACACTCCTGCTCCACGGATGCGGCCATGGGATTGATCTTTAGCTTGCACGTGGCCATGGGATCCTTGTTGCACGGCACTGGCGGTCCCTGGGGTATGTTCTTGATCACTCGCTGAAAGAACTTCTCCAACTGGATACCCTTGCGATAGACCACAGTGTCAACGCCGTTGAACATGTAGCAGTTGCGGAGGAGAAGATGAAAGTCAGAGATGGCCTCATCCACGTCGTGATAATAGTTATTCTCCACCCGCTTGGTGATGGTGCCCACATCCATGGGTCGATGGATGACAGTGTAATATTGGGGGATCTGTAACTCTTCGGTATCCACCGGGTTCATAAAGTCCGAGGCGAACTTCTTCTTTGTGAGCTCGTCCAGGAAGTGCTTCTTGAAGTAGTGCAACTGGTTGGTGTACACGCCAGCCATCCCCGGTTGGGGCATCACCTCCGGCTGGACGCGAGTGGGTAACGAGAGTTTCACCGACAAAGAATTCTACCAATAAGAAAAAAAAAACCTATTTCTACGACTTGTCCTGGCGGTTTTTCATGCAAAACTTACCATTTTGCGTCGATTTTTCACTTTTCAAAGAGTTTTTCTTCGATTTTGCGCTTCTGACCACGAGTTTTTCACGGAATTCTCTTAGCAAACGTTTTAGGGAAGCTTTTACAGATTTTCCGGGTCGAAACAAAAAAACCAGAGAAAAATATCTGTCAAAAGAAAAAGACTATAAAAAGCCTTCTGCAACACTGGCCAAGCCAAAGAAAGTATTGGAAAGTGTTTGTCTGTCGTGCCACGCTGCTGACCATGGAATTAGCTTAATAAATATTTAAACTTTTTCAAAACCTTTTAGGGAAATTTAAAAATTAAAAATTTTGTTCAAAAATATCTAGAGAAAATTATTGAAAAATTTTTACCATATTTTGGCGCCTCTGTAGACCGATTTTGACCAACACTTTCAAAGGAAATATGTGTGGGAAAACCTGTACTATTAAAGCTTCATTAATTAGAGGCTCAAGGAAAAACTAGAACCAACAATGGCACATCAAAGGACGAAGGACGAAACAGGCAACAGCCCTTGTCTAATATTTTGCACCACTTCACAGGCTTTCAGGTTTATTTTTTTTTATTTCTGAGAGGGAGGCGGAGGACATAAAAACTGCTTTTTGCAATTTACATCAACATTTTTATCCACCACCATCACCACCAGTACCACCTAGGAGTACAGCAACAACATGCTTTTCCTATTTGCCTACACACGGAAGTGTGTCCCATAAATATAAGGACACACCCACACAGCAATCCAACAGCCTCCTGCGTTTGCGTCTTTTTGCGCACTTAATTACACACGCATACGCTTCATTCCACTTTGCGGGGGGTGCCACCGCCCCCTCGTCCTTGCTGGCCACCGAAGGATGGGTATCCTTCTCCCCTGCTCCCGCTCCAACTCCTCCTCCTTGTGCATCCATCTCTCTGGGACAGGCCCATTACGGAAATAGAAACGATGCCACACGGCTGGAAGCAAAAAAAAGAAAATATCAGACAAAATGGAAGCAAATATGGTTGCTCAATCAATAATGCAAATTAATAAAGTTATTGAATGGTAAAGCACTTATTTTAAAGTATGAAAAAAAAAATAGATTGTTTAAAGATTTTATTTTATAATTATTTAAGCCCAAAAAAAGGTAGCAGAATGAATGCTTTTCTATGAGGGCATTCATAGTGTAACAAATAATAAAATCATAATAGAATAGGAAAAACTATATTAACTCTTTTAAAATAATACGAAATCAAAAAGAAAGTAGCATTTGCTTTTATTAAAAGATACTTCATGGCCTTTTTTGTTGAATTTTAAAAGGCGTCTTATAAGGGGTTACATCGTTAAAATTGTTAAAAATTTGAATTTTTTTTACATTTTAAATGAAGTATGTAGATTTATAAAACTATCAACAACTAACATAGGACTGTTTTCCGAATTGAAATTAATCCGTTTTTGACTTAGTTATGATGGATTTTCTCTGCAAGGATATAGAATTTTTGGTTTCCCGAAGTTTGCTTCCTTTCTTATTAAATAAATTTCCTTTCCTGATACTAAGGTATTTGCGGTACAGTCCTGTCCTCTATCCGGATCCTTGACCAAGCTAGCTCCTTGGACTGCGAATTTGTTTCCATTTAAGGACCCCCATCCTCCTTATGGCACTCGGAAAAAAGGGCGACTCACGCAATCGGCAGACGCAGGATGCCTCGACAGGTAGTTTCTACCTGCCCTGGCCAAGGTGTCAATGTTGCCTTATCATCCCGAGAACAGATCCCATGCCCAGTCTGAGTCGCAGTCGCAGACCCTGACCTCTTAGCCCCTCCTCAAGGTCCACGTCCTTGTCTATTCTTTTCCCTAATTTTATCTCTGACGGCGATTAATGCGAATAAATTTTATAGTCGAAAATGTGCACTCGCATGTCCTTTCCTCTTTGTGTTTTCCTTTCGACCTTTTTTTTTAAAGGTCTGCTCCCTCCACCGCTTTTCCTTTTTGGCTAATGTTTTCTTACTGACTTTTTGTCTGGCTTTGGAGTATGTGACTTCTGCTGTTTGTCTTCGGCACCTGCAGCCAGGGACCCAGGGACCCAGGGACCCGCAGGGACCTGCAGTTGTTAATTGTTTCGATCGTTGAATCCCCGATGCTTACGCGATCTTGCAGCTCTCAGGATCCCTTTTATTTATTTTTTAGCAATTGCCGCTGACTCAGCAGCAGCGAGTCCAGCAGCATCCTCCCTCCATTAGTTTAGGGCTTGGTTAGAGATATTGGAGAACTGGTAACAGGTACAGGCTGTCCAAGGAAAAACTGGTTTCTATTCTTTTCCTCTATTTTTTCGTGGTCGCGACACTTGCAGCGATCTCCTCCATTGTTGCGATGTGTTAACCTTAAGCGATTTCTGACTTCAGGGTCTTTTGTGTGGCGGACCCCGGATTGTTTCTGATTTTCTGATGGGATTAGAAATAAAGGAGAAGTTCTAAGACGAATTCGAGATACTCTGGAAGGTGATTAAGGGTATGGAAATATAAATAAATGGAGTTTTTATGTTATATAGCATAAAGACTGCCTTTATTATGGCCACAAAATAATATTATGCTAATTAGGACCATCAAATTTTATTTACAAATCTCCAATAAAAACTACAAGACCCCCCTAAAGGGTATAAATATATTCCCAAAACAAAGAGGTATAAAAATTTCCATGGGAAAGGCCGCGAATCCTGGCTGCAAGGACAAAGCCTATAGCCGATAGCAATCGCTTTCAAAAAGATGCAGGTCTTTGTCAGACTCTGGGAAATGCATGCATTCCCTGGCATGTTTTCCTCAGTTTCATAGTTTTCCTCGGTGAATTCGGCACACCCACAAAAACACACAGACACAACGCACTATTTATGGACTTCCGTTGAATGGGAATGGCGGAAAAGCTAGGCACATTACACACACACTCGCTTATTTTATTCGCGGCGCTCCCGAAAAATACAGAACATTTGAGAAAAGTCAATGACCCGCGTGAAAAACTGGGCAAAGCCCGCCGCCAAGATGTTGAAATGTTGCAATTCCAATTCAACCAAAATGCGCCCGCATGGCGTCTAATAAAGGAAAATTGATTGGGAAATTGTGAAAAATAAATTGGAAATGCAAAAGAGTAGGGGAAGGGCAGAGTGTGCGGAGTGTGTGCCTGGTGAAAGTCCAACAATTAAATAGCAAACAAATTTCCGCCAATTATTTGACATTAATTATGATCCCGTCAGCGGACACTGGATGAGGGTCAGTCCGGGAGGGGAATAAAAGAGAAGGAGGAGATGGAGTGGGACATCTTCTAGGAGCAAAAAGGGTTGCTTACCTATATGCCATGCTGGTCCTATCAGATTAACCATGAATCTCAATCAGAGGAGCATAGTTTGCCCGTTTATGGTGGCTTGACTTTCGCCAGCTTTTCCCAGGGAGAGGTTTACTTATCAAATCAGCTGAAAACTTGTCTCTAGAACTTCATAAATCTTTTTCCCATATTTCTCCATAAATTGGCTGATGCCTTCTAGCCAAGAAAATTAATTCTTGTGCATAAAATGCATGCGTGTGTGAATCTGTCAAGCGTTTCTTTCTTTCTCAAAGCCCACGAAAAATGCCTCAAGAGTCATTGACTTTGGGGCAATAGAAAAATCAGGAAAAAAGTTCGAAAAAACGCATCTGCATGCGGTGCAATGGCCGGTGACGCTAGCCAGAAAATGAATAACAAAATATACCCAAGAAAAAAAACCAGGGCCCAAAACGCCAATCGACCAAGACGCCGACCCCGCCCCTATGCGTTTTTTCTTCGCTGACCAATTAAGCCATGAGAAGCTGCCCCAAAATGCAATCAAAGAAGGCCGGAGGAAAGCAAAAACCTCAAAATGAAACATTTTTCTCCAAGACCAAAGCCCCGAAGAGCTCAAAACGCATTACGCGATGAGGAAAATCGGGTTTAGGCCCGAGACTTGACTACCTGTGCAGGTTTTGTTTTTTACCAACAAAAAAATAGAGGCCGCAAAAAAAAAACTGAACGAAAAAAATAACACCAACAAAGGAAAAGAGAGTCGTGAAAATGTTTTTCTTGCGAGCCAAGAGTCAGCATCCCAAGTCAGAAAATCAGAGACCAGAGACCCGCCCGACCAGATTTTATATCGCTGGGACAGAGACTGGGACCTGGGACTGGGTCTGGGCTCGGGATTGGGTTCAAGATTGGGACTGGGACTGTCTGGAGTCGGAGTTGGGGATTACACACTTTGTGCATTTGCCGAGTGTGTGCGTATTATGACCATAAGTTTAGGGGCCTGACCTCGACGCGAACCCTTGCCTCCTCCGCTGCTGGGCTCTCCTCTATTCGATTGATAGGATGCACTGAGGGAAATTTACAGGGGATAATTAGTAATTATAATAATTACAAAACAAATATTTCATATAACAACGATTCTAGCTGTAGGATATACAGAAGCTTTACGTCTTCAAGCCTTGCGTACCTTCAAACTGATAAGGAAGTATACTTAATTTGCTGAAACCTTTTTCTATTTAAAAAAATTGGTTAGAACTCTAAATTTGTCTTATAAAGGTTTGAGCATACCTAAGGATTTATTGTATATACTTTCACCAACTTTATTTACAATAATTTCTTATGAAAATCAAATTTTCTCTCAGTGCTAGGGTGACTCTTTTATGGGTTGACATCTTGTAGGCGTGCTGAATCGCAGCGATTGGAAATGTTAATGGAATGGCCAGGGGATTGGAATTGGGATCGGCATAGGAATCGGGATAGGGCATAGAAACGTCGATGGAATGGGTATAAAAATCCCGATCGGGATGCACATTTTAAATGTGCAGCGATCTGCAGCGGCTGATAAAGTAAGAGTCGTTTCAAAGACCTGTTTTATGGCCAAAAAAAATAGAGGAAAATAACAACCGATCGAAACGAAAAACGACAAAATGAAATGCATAAACGTAAATCTCACAGCAGGTAGTCTTGCCAAGATGGAGATGGAGATGGCATCGGGGAACCTGCAACATTGCGCCGCCAAGATGATGATGATGATGACTTTTTGGTCTCCGACGGCGACAATAAATTTCTCAATTTTCCCTTTTGCTCTAGATTGCTGCCTCCTGATATATATCAGTATTATATATATATATATTGTCCTGTCTGCACAGAGTCCTTAAAGAAAATCCTTCCAACAACTGCGCACTTGCCAGGTGCATAAAGCGAGGTGAATGCTTAATCAGCCGAGGAGCAGGGGTTAGTTTTGGGTTTCGATTTCTGCGTGGGTGATTTTTTTACCAATCCCCTGATCTTCTCGATTTCCCAGGTTTGCGTTTAGAGAAAGGGTTTCCACAGGAGATTGCATCCTTTTGATTGATGGGTACTGAGGATGATGATGCACTTGCCAGGGGAAAATCAAATATTTGCATCATTTTCTTGGGGTTTATCTGCGGTTTGGCGAGTGTGTGAAAATCGAGGTTTCGTTTGCACCAGCAGAATGCTGATTTTTTCCGCCCCTTGAGTTTTCCGATCTTTTCACTTTTCTGCCAATTGCTAGAGCTGCGGGTCAAAGGTCGATCGCTGGGAAACAACATAGAAATACAAAAAATACCAAAACTAAAGAGAAATTCAAGACAATTGGCAAAAGCGGGTGCTGATTGTGGTTCGTGGATTGCGGATAAGGAAATATATACAATTTCCCGGGAATAATTCAATTTTTTTGCTCCCCTAAGCGGATACACACACACACACACACTAGGAAAGTACAGAAAAAACACACAACAAAGTGCACCCAAATAGTTATCGCAAACAACAAGCGGCAGCTCTACGCGTAGACAACAGCACCGAAAAAGTTCATTGACTTTCGCATTTCGGAAATAACACAACGGCAACGCAACGGCAAACGCATCTTTTTAGTGCGTTTATTGCTGCACTGAGAGAAATTGGGGGGTGCCAAGGGGTTTCTCGAAAATAATACATGTTTTTATTATAACCTTCAGGCTAATACAAATTGAATCAGCAGCTTGTAAAGCAGTGAAGGAGTCATTTCCGACCCTATAAATCATATATATTCTTGATCAGCATCAAAAGCTGAATCGATCTAGCCATCTCCGGCAGAAAAATATATTTTTTTTAATTTTTTCAAAATTTTATAAGGGGTTACATCAAAATCTGACAAAAAATGTAATTTTCTAATATTGTAAATAGAGTATGCAGATTTGTTAACCTAATAAAAACTAACACAGGAACGATTTCCGATTTAAAATTAATGCATTTTTCACATAGTTATGATGATTTCGGTTCCCTGATCCAAATTGCGAATTAGGCTTCCGGAAGTTAGCTTCCTGCATTCTTTTGATATATAAAATTAACTAATACTCTTACATATTTAAGTGTTTTTTATCAATTTATTTATTTGTTTTGTATAATAACATTATAAATAACAAATACAAATAACATTAGATATTAAGTAGATACTATTTTAAAAACGTATTATTAACTCTTAAAAAATACTGCTTAACAAATATGATTTCCTTTGAATTTAATTCCCAAAAAGCCTCTCCAATTGTTTACTGTGTGCATTCTCCAAACAGAAAATAAATATGGCGGCCATGCCTCCCCCTCTCCCCACTCCCCTCTCCCCGACCGAAAAACAGCGTGCACAAAAGAGCAAACGCCAAAGAGTGCACACAAAAAATTACATTAAAGTGAAAATGAGCAATAACAACGCAAACACAAACGCACAAAAAAATACAATAAAAAAAGCCTGCGCAGATACAGATACGGATACATGCTCACACATACACACTCACATACAGCGCAGCGCCACGAGCAGCAACAACAGTAAACAACAGAAGAACGATCGAGGGCTACCCCCGCCCCTGAAAGGCCCCCTCAAAACCCCACCTCATACAGGCCAGGGAGCATTCGAGAAAACTGCACGGCCAACGCAGCCATATTTAATACAGAGGGAACAAAAAATACAAATACAAATGCAAGCCATATTTAAAACGGAAAGAGAAGAAATACTAAGAAAAAACCAGCCATGATCGTTGGAGAGAGAGGGCCTGCTTTTTGGTATCCCCTTCCACTGCAGTTTGTATAACAGTTGCATATATGGGGAGACCTCTTCTTTTTTTTTGGGCTTTATTTCCCCTTCGGCAAAGCTGTCAGTAAAGATATATAGGAAAAACCTTTAGCCTAAAAGAATGCTTTAGTTTTCAAGATACTTCTTCTGAAGATACTTTAGATAGAAATTAATGATGCCTGCTTTTGGGGTTACCGAAAAAAGGGAATAAATGGCGGATAAAACGGATAACTTTGGCTTTAGGAACTTGACTTTGTATTAAAATGCATTTATTTAAGGCATTTTCAATAATAAAAAATATAATAAATATAATTTATTTTGTATAAATATGTATTTTATATTTTTCATCATTATTTATCTATTTTTCCATGATTTATGCCAAGTTTCAGTTGATTTTTTAAGATCAACAGCAACTTTTGCTTTCTAAATTCCATATTTAATTAAAAACCTAATACCATTTGCTTCTATTCTTAATGTAAAACCTATAAATTAAATCTATATAATTATATATAAATTATAAATCATAAATAGTATACCTTTTTGGTTTATTCTAAGTTTTATTGTACACTCACGATTTTTGTTTTCATATACTTAGATAAAATGTTGTACAGATTTAACAGCTTATGGTTCTTTTTTTTTGTGTTTTTATATTTTATTAAACATTAAATTTCACAGCTCCTGCTTCTCCGGAGCGTCTTTGGTCAGCTTGTTGACCCTGAAGGCCTCCAGAATGTTTAGTTTACGCAGCAGCTCGTCCTTCTTGGCCTCCGAAACCTTGCCGGCTTTGAGCCGTAACAGACGCTTGGTCTCCTCCTCCAGGAAGTCGTAGCCCAGCTCCCGAATCTTGCGCATATAGACCAGATAGAATTTGGCACTCTTCTGCTGCTCCGGATTCTTCATCTTCTCCAGCCTCTCCTCGAAGATCTCAATCAGGGCAGTCTGCTCTGCATCTGGAATGTTGGCATAGTTCTTGAGGCCATCATCAAAGTCCTTGATGCAGCCATCGCGACCGATATACAGATCGGTATTAGAGCTGACAAAGGCCTTTAGGTTGTCCAGGGTGATGTCCATGTGGCTGGGCACGCGGATGAAATCATCAATGCTGCCCTTGAATAGGAAGATCTCTGGGAAGTTCTTGTCATCCACCTTGAAGCGATCGCCCAAAGCCTGTCAAGGAGAGAGTACATAAATTATTATATTACCAGAAAAACCTTTTAAAGATTCACTTGAAACATTAAACAAATAACAAGTCAATTTTTTGCAAGACAAAAAACCTTTTTTTAGTCACTTTTTTGTTGTCACCACGTAAAATGAATAATTAATCACTGTCTTTTGGGTGACACTCTGCCTTGTACTCGTTATTCGTGTACATGAAGCACTTGACTTGTAAGCTTGTAAACTATTCAAACTCACCTTGTTCTCCAGCTCGCCATAATCCTTGATGCCCACAGTGGCCACCAGGAGATCCGTTGTGGCCTTATGGGCTGCCTTCGAGAAGGCGCCAAAGGCTTCATGCTTTTCCCCATAGGGAAATGCTATATCAAACTTGACCAATGCATAGGGAAATCTTTCCACTGTCCTCTGGAAATTGATCTCGTCCAGATCCACGCAGCCACCGCAGGCCAAGGCCTGGACCGAGGGCACGAGGGTGGAGTGTAGAAGGGCCAGTAGAAGAGTCACCAAAATCCGCATCATCTTCGTGGCAAAAAAACAAATAGGCGCAGAGGCTTCTGTGAACTTGACCTTACAGTTGCCGGCTCTCAGCGCCAACTGGCTGGAAATCGTAATATATGGTAAGAGAAGCGGTATTGTGTTTTCCTTGGCCAGTTTTTCGCTTCGCTCAGCACAATTGCTGCTGCCTCGCTCTCGGAGCTGCTCTGAAATTCTCAGTAATTCTCTAAAATTCTTTGGCTTCCTCGGAGTTCTTTGGAGTTCTCTGGTTCTCCCCGTTATGGACACTCGATCGAGTTGAATGACACGTCAGTGTTCTGGCCGGGTTCTCTCGCTCTCTCACTCAAAAACCGGCTATTCAGTTGGCCGAAAAGAACACACTTGCACTCTGAGCTGTTGGTTCAGCTGTTACACAGCTCTCGGCGTGGAGATTAATTATGTAATGGTTCGCTCTCGACGCGTGCTCCTCGTTTTTGAACGCTTCTGGTCTCGGCACAAATGTGGATATAATTGTCATCCCATTTTCAAGGCAACACTGATGCCAAACTGATACAAATGTACCCAGTTTTTTGGGGGGCAGTCAGTTTAGATCGTTTTTGGCCAATAGAGCGTGCCGCATGAAGAGCAGCAATTATATGCGTGTTTTTCTCTAAATGACAGGCAAAAGGCTATGGCCGGAAATGATAATTTGCAGTGGGACAAGGCACGGATCTGCTGTGGTGCAACGACCTAGAAATACCCTTTCAATTGGGGTGAAAAGTATATGAGAGTTGGTTTTTAAGAGGTGTATTTATATTAGGAAAATTCAGGTCTGTTTAAAAAGGTGTTCATTGCCAAGTATTATCTGCACTGCTTCAGAAATAATTTATTAAAAATCAAATTTTCTTATATTAAAAAAATTCCTTTCTGGGTATTATATTTTCAGTCAGAGGCAAGAAAAGCTGTAAAAGAATCATTTCCGACCCTATAAAGCATATATACTCTTGATCACCACGAACATCCAAATCGTTCTAGCCATGTCTGGAGGAAAACAATTTTTTATCATTTTCTTCGACATTTTTTTTTTACATCGTTAAAATTTTCAAAAATGGTCAAAAATTGAATTTTTAAATCAGTAAACTTAGTATCCCGATTTGTTTACCTAACAAAAACTAACATAGGAACGCTTTCCGATTGGAAATTAATGCATTTTTGACTGAGTTATGATAATTGAAAGACTAAGGTTTTCACGAAAAATTATCTGATAAAAATATTGATCTATAGTTCCTAAAAGGGACATATTTCTTGGTGATAAATGGTAAAGGAGTCATTTCCGACCCTATAAATCATATATATTCTTGATCAGCATCAAAAGCCCAATCGATCTAGCCATATCAGAAAGAAAATTACATTTTTCATTTTTTTTTTTAATTTTATAAGGAGTTAAAATTATCAAAAATTGATAAAAATTTTCAAATTTGTATAACCTACTAAAATTTGTTGACCTACTAAAAACTTACATAGGACAGCTTTCCGATTGGAAATTAATAGATTTTTGACTGAGTTATGATAGATTTTCACTGCAAGGTAATATACTTTTCGGTATCCCGTAATAAGCTACATTTCTTGTTTTATTTAAATAATAATAATATAGGTCCCAAGCAGCCCTACAATTAACAAACCTTAAGGCCTTAAATATTTTATTTAAATATATTTTTTATGCATTTTTAATAGAGCTTTAGTCCCTGCCTGGCCTCGAGTTTCTTCTTAACATAATTCCCTAGCAGATGGACATTTTCTATTAAAGGGTGTTAGAAGAAAAACTGGAATGAATGAAAAACACCTGCATGTGGCTGGAAAAACTAACCCTGGTTTTGCCATAATTTTCATTAGCCAGAAATTGACATTTTCCCGACTCCCGGACCAAACCAAACCAACCTATTCCATACCTCCAACTCTTAGGACTTCTCCTTCTCCTGGGTTTCCTTTTCCCCAACCCGCCGCCTCTTTTGTACTGGTTAATGGACATTTTCGGCAATTGTCAATTAATAATTCATGTGTGCGGCACACATGTTGGCCAGTAGTCAGTGTCCCACCTCCTTGACGGCCAAAATAGTTGGTTTAGTTTTTCCATTTGCGGTTTCGTTTGTCCACTCCGGTTGGTTCTACGGGAAAATTGAACATCATGGCACGCAATTCGGGCGGAAAAACCTCGGGAAAGAGTGGGAATAAGGGGGGGAGCGAAGGAAAAGCGTTGCGAGCTTCACACGATCGATATGGCCTTTGGTGGTAAATTATCTTTTTCTGATGGATGGGCGTGGTGGTACGGTGGGTGGTGCGTCAGGTGCATGGAAAAGCCCGGCTCAAAGTGCGCAATTTCGAAGGAAATTAAGTACACTTGGGGAAAATGTGTTGACTTAGCTATCAGGAAGGGGATTTTCAGTTCTAAAAATGGGATTTTCCTAAGATTTTAAGAGAGAAAGTATAGTTTGTTTTGCAACTCTTTAAGCGTCGGACTAAACCCAGAAATTGATTAATTTATTTCGCAAATGTCTAGATTAAAGCCTTGGCAACTGGTTAAAATATATTGAATATTTTAAAGCAAATTATAATGATTTTGATTCAAGTTTTTCCCAGTGTATCTAGGTGTAGGGTGATCCGTACCCCCATGACAATCCAATGGTAATGGGCCCTGACATGCGTGTGTCAATCGCACAAAAGCCCAAAAATTACGCTCTATTTGGAATGCTGACCGACCTCTTTGGCCAGCGCGAAAAAAAAAATAAAAATCGAGTCCAAGTTCGGTTCTATGGCGCACTTGTGTTTGCACTTCATTCATTATGCAACGACTGCCAAGCAATTTGCTAAGTACACCTGTAGGAACCCCTCCGAAAAGGGGGAGTCCTTCAAAAACATCAAGTAGAAGTAGAAATCAGCCTCGAATTAGCTGCCGTGACGAGCCTTTTATTTTTAACACCTTCTCCCCATGCGTCACACTTAGAACTGAAATCAGTTGAAACTTAAATTTAAAAGTATATTTAAAAACCCGGATATATATTTAGACAAATCATAGGAATTTCACGGTAATTGCTGAAGAGGAAAGAACCTTCAAACGAACTCCGTACACTCCACAAACACACATGTGCTCGTATATGGGGCATTAATAATATAAATTGTGCTGGCTATTACGTTAGTTGGCTCTGGCTCTGGGACAGTAACCACTAATAACACAATGACCTTTACGCGAAACGACCCTTTTTTACCTACCCCTCGGGATACTCTTTGGGGGGGCTGGGGTGGTGTGTACTAGCAATCGACATTAAAGTGATAAGCGCGCAAATTTCAGGACCTGGCAGCCAGCGCAATCTTGGCGGGGAAATCAAACGATTGCGGCATTGTTTTTTATTGACCAGCCAGGACAACACACATCCATTGGGTTTCGGGACAACGAAGTAGCCAATACACAAAGCTAATCGACCTCCATTGCCAGCCGGTGCTGCTCCTGCTGCTGGACAGGTGCTCTATTTAAATACCTCTTGTGGGGAGAGAGTATGTGCGATCTGGGATTTTGATTTAAAAGGTGAAAGAAATCAAGAAAATATAGAAGATATTTTGCAAAAGTATCATTTTAAATAGTTGAAATTGTAAGGAATTTTAATCGATATTTATCGAAAATGTAAATATTTTATTTGCAATATTATACGATCTATTAATAAAGATATTGGTAACGAATCTTTATGACTTTTAACAATTATTTGATTCTTGGCCAAAAAAATCTCCACTAAAAGTCTTTAAAAATAAGTATTCTAAAGTCAATATTTTTCTATGATAAATTGTATACAAAAATCAAAGTTTTAAACTGTCATAACTCTGCCAAAAATAATTTAAATTCAATTCGGAAAGCTGTTCTAGGCTAGTTTTCAATGCTACAAAAAAACTGCATACTGCATTTAAAAATTTAGAAATTTCGATTTTTTGTCCATTTTTGACAATTTTAACGATGTAACCCCTTGTAAAATTTTCAAAATTTCGAAAATTTTGAAAATTGTATATTTTAAAAAATTGTATGATCATTTAGTTTGGATTTTAATTGCCAATCGAAATATGTATGACTTTTTGCAATCATTAAAATTTTGGCCATTTTATGACTCCAAAAAGTCCTAAAAATTCGTAATTTTAAAGACTTTAAATTGATAGCTAATAATACACTTTGTAAATAAATAAAAGGTTAATAACTAAGCCAAAATAATATTTATAAGCTCTGTAAGCGTTTTTATTTTGTTTTTTATAAAGAATATTATTTTAATTATTATAAAATTATACCCGAGGGCTTAGACCAGAAATTTTTAAAGGAATGAAATACAGTAAATCCTAAGGAATACTCCTTAATTTTTTTACAGGGTACCTTCTACCATCCTATCGAAAATTACCTTTATTTTTTGGCAGCCCGCAGTCTAATTATGTGGCCAGTACAATCCATGGCAATCCATGAATTTTTCATGGGCCCACCACGTATGCCACAAGACATGCAATGTTGGAGCCCCAAACAACTGACAATTTGGTTAGAAAATAGAGTTTTGGTGGAAGGAGGAGTATGAGGGTTTTGGACTCTGGCCCCCTCAACTTGCGTAAGAAGCCACGCAATTTCGAAGCGTGGAAATTTCCCGGGACTCTTTTCTCTCTCTCATTCAAACTTTTTATTGTAAACTTTTCATTGTGGGGAGAGGGGGGAAAAGTCTCATCAAATTTTTATATTCTGGCATAATTCCATAAATGGGCCATGGAATGACCCACCTGAAAAAGGGCCATATGTTCCTCCCTGAAAAAAATAACCACAACCCTCTCTCCCTGATGTCCAAACCAATAATTCGCATGCGGAAAGTCCGAAAAAATCCAAAGGGGTTCAGAGGTCGGTCGTCAACATAATTGGTATTTATTGAAAATGCCCTTTTGGTTAACCCGTTTCGTGGAGTTCATATAAGCCATAACAATAGTCCTCGATATTGTGTTTATCGCTTTTCATTTGCATTTATTGCCATTTCCAAATACGTGTGGCTATCAGAGGCGTTTAGCGCAAATTTCTTTTCAATATCTGTTTCGTGTGAAAGTCGAAAGCCGAAAGCCAATAAAGCCAAATGGCCAGTTAGATTTTTGGGCCTGTCCAATTTGATTGCAAATTTCCAACCACTTTGGCTTTTTATGCCAACTGCGTGCGGGGAATTTGTGAGAGTTATATCAAGGATTCGGTTATCCTTTTCGATTGGATGCCCACCCTTGGTAAGACCTGTTCCCTCCACTAATTAATCACTCGAATGCATTATTATGTGTCCTGCGCTAATTACGCTTTTTCAATATTTGTTCAAAGGTCCCCCAAATCAAATATGTTCACTCCAAATATTTTACTGTCAATCGACGGCCTAATGATAATTTCCTGAGCGATTGGCCAGTTTACCTGTCCATCCAACAAGGAGGGAAAATTCCATTAGCATGCCTATTAATTAGCCAAAAAATATATAGAGCCTTAAGTGGCTGTGGGTGAGAAGGCACTTGAAGTGGTCACTTAGGGTTATACTTTCCAAGGATTTAATTGCTGCTTTAGAAGGACAGGACTGTACTTCCTTTTTGGAAATTATTCAGCACAGGAAATGGTATAAGAAGTGAAGATTATAGAGATATGAGTAAAGGTATCTCTGAGGATATCAATCAATCACGAAATTAGTAGTAAACTTTACATAATTTTCTAGAGATTCTAGTTTTTAGTTACCCTTAAAAAAAGTCATGTCAAAATGTTAAATATATATTTTTTAAAGACGATTTTATTGCAATCATTTTAATTCCGACCTCGATCACTATCCCCTTATTAATTAAGATTTCCTAAAAGATTGCACTTCAACAACTCAAGGAGAAATTTCCCCAAGTGAATTTCCGTCAGGGGAAATTCTGGTATAACAGTTTAAGGACTTTACGCGCCTGCGTGGTGCTCTCTCCGAGTAAAAGGACTTCCAAGGCGTTAGGATATTACCTCAAACCGTTGACGGAAGCGAGGGTTCGGGCATTTGTTTGTAAACAAATGCAGAGCAGGCTTTGGAGAAAGGGTAAATGTGCTGCACTTTTCCAATGGGGTTTCCCTTCCTTCGACTCCTGCCCCATAATTACCACCTCCACTTGTTGCTCAACCACTCTCCCGCAGAGAGGGTGGAGCAATTACTTAACCCAGTCGAGGGGCGTACTACCCGACAGACATGCAAATTGCAGTCTCATGGATTAGAGACCGAACGCCTTTCCGCACATTTCGCATGACATTTTAAACATTCTTTTTTCGATTTTTGATGACGCCCACCTGGATGAGGGAGCTCCAGTTCTGACTCTGACTATGGAATCGAAAACGGTCATCAAATCTAATTGGCGACGTCGCGTCGCAAATGCCTAGCAAATTGCGGGTCTGCCTTTTTTGATTTTGATTTTTTGCACTGATTCCACTACGGAACAGGGATTAGGCTGGACAGAGACTCGATCGATGCATCGGAAGGTTAATGTTCCGCCGTTCGTACTTAGATATTCCATTACCCTGCCGGCTGCCGCGAAGAACAACAAAAAACTAAAACAATGGCCAACAACTTGATGCAATAATTTGCCACAACTTTTCCAACCGCCTGACCACAACAACATGCAATATGCAACATGGGGAAGGTTCGTCAAAATTCATACACAGTGAGAAATAATGAATAAAAATATTACAAAATATATAGTAATAAGAGGGTTTAAGGGCTTTAAAATACATTTATATTAGAATACTTAATGTATTTTTAGAGTTAAAAAAAGAGTATCTGAAACATTAAGCTAGATATCTTTATTATTTCAAGTCATAAAAGAGTTTCCTAAATTATTTCAAAGTTATTATAGATCTCTTATTATTCTTGATCTCCCATTAAAACATAATGAATTTTCCTGGTGCAGAGACGTGCAATGAAATTTTCGCAAGAGGATTTTCCGAAAGGTGCGCTTTTAAAAAATGCATGAAGCGTGTGTCCCTGCTCTTACTCAGTTCTAGTCCTTACTCTGGTCCTAGTCCCTTGGACATGGGGGACATGGACATGCAGGTGCAAATTCTTGGCAACCCCAGGTGAACTAACCAACTGACAGACTGACGAACTGACTGACGGACAGATGGCGGAATTGACCGCATGATTTTCAGCATGTGAACGCCTTTCGGTTGGCATTTTATCGGCGGAGAGCGCGCTTTTATATCTAAACTATGAATCAATGCATTAGTCAGTCACCTTGTACGCTCTACTTTAATTACGGCTTTTTACGCGGTACCTGTACCTCGAACCCATCCCTTTGGGGGGAAAATGAAAACACCACCCTTCAACACGAGTTCTCTTTTATTTTAGCCACAAGCTGACATTTTTTGCATGTTCTCCAGCCAAATTAAAAATTGCATACAAAAAATGCCAGCTTAAAACAAATAAATGAAGTCACGACAAGGGGAATACTGTTTTCAGAGTTTATTTAGGGAAATTGGAAAAGACTTGATATTTACTTTAGGAATGATATCTTAACAAAAATAATAATTATTTCATCTCCGAGTAATTAGAATTAATAGAAAATATTAGTTATTGATAAATATAGTTAAGTAAAATCTTTTTGGCTGAATTTCATTGATTCCAATGCTTGCCTTTAGTATAAATTGGCCTATGTCAATGGGTTACTGTATATAATATATTGTGATTTATACCAAATTTAATAATTATATCCCGTAATAATTAAATTATAAATATAATAGTTAAGGAAATTCCCAATAGCTAAAGTTTTTAAATATTTTACAGACAAAAATCAAAAGTACAAAGATTAATCAATAGCTGTTATGATTCTTTGACTGTATAAGTTCACTTTACTAGTTTACTTGGTAAATATCTATTAAAAATATCTTTAAAATTAAACTTTCCCTAATAATATATCCTCTTTTCTCTAAAGAACAAAAGGGTATAAATAGCAAAGTGAAATTCCTGGCAAAGAACGTAATAATATTAACGTGGACTCGACCACTCGACAACCTACCAGAGTTATAAATATTGCATTACAATCGTTTTACCCCGAGTTGTCGCGCTTTCAGAGGTTCCTCCTCCAGCACACCCCCCCTGTGGGGGGCAGGACCTCTCCTCTGGGAGCAGGGGTAACTGCAATTGCGAATTGGATTTCATGTTAATGCAGAGTCCTTATCGCCCGGTCATGTGCTTGGACGGGTCGCAATGGGTTCATTTGTGTTCTATTTGGTTGGTAATTTCACTTAATTGCGATGACGTTGTGTGTGCAAAAAGTGTGTGTATGTGTGTGTGTTGTTGTGTGTGGGGAGGGGATGGGAGACTTTCGGCCCCAGTGGATTGCTGATTTATATCGCCCACGAACTGGGGGCTTCCATGGTTCATCAAATATTCAGCGACCCGTTGAGATATTGAAAATACTCGCACGTAATTGTTTTGTGTGTACATTTAGGTTTTATTCTTTATTCTTGAATGCAATTGTGGTTTACAATATATAAGAGTTCTCATTTCATTTCATTTCAACGTTGTTGCCTTGCACATTCAATATATATATATAATAGACGTAATAAAAAGTAATTATAAACAACAGTTGTAATAAAAATAAAAATAATAAACATGTGGATGCATCGGATAATTGGATACTTGGGGGATACTATTCTTATTGTTATGTCATGTTTAGGTTGTTCTTCTTCTGATTGGGGTTTCTTTAGCTCGAGGTCGTTGGTATATATAAAGATATAGCCATATATTTAGCTTGTATAAAAGGTGTACTGCCAGTGCTGCATTATGCGTGGGTGGTTGTGTTCATGTGTGGTGTGTGTGTTTGTGGTGAGTGTAGTACTTAGAAAATCCTCAAAAGTATTTTGTTTTATTATTTAGAAATAGTTTTATAAAATCTACTGCGTTTGCTGTTGAATTTCGATCTTTTCCACGGTCATGTCGGGATTCATAGCCGTCGCTTCCTGTAAGGTTAAGAAAACAATTTAGTAAGGGTTATAAATAGTAAATGATAAAACCAGGAATGCCCAGAAGTGGGATCTTGGACTTTTTCTAAAGGGAAATCTATGAAATTCCCTGAATCCAAGGCCCTTTGCTTGAGATACTCACTTGTATTGCCTCGGCCAAGGCCTTGTCATGATCAATGGGATCTCCATCGGACTGAATGGTTATCTTTTGCTCCACACGGGTCTCAACGATGCCATCGCGTTCGGTTTTGTACTAATTATAAACATGAAATATTGTTAAATTACAAGTTCCTTAAACTTAAACAACACCTGAACCCAGTTCGAACAAGGACTATGCATGGAATTTACAGTGTGGCGCAGGTACATATACAGGAAATATCTTTAAGATACAAGAATACAGAGTCTAGGCCTACCTCTCTGGCTACTTACTTACACACTCATCCTCGTCGAAAGGGATCAGGGCTATAGCTCCCAGCTATATAGTACTTACGGTAATGGTTTCCACAGTGCGGGTTTTGCTGCTAACGGTTTGGGTGGAGATGATTTCGCCATGTCCGGAATAGCCGGGTGTATCCTCGCCCAGGACCACTCGGGTGCTTTCCACATGAGGTCCAGGGGTAGAGCCCGAGGCGGAGGTTGTATACAGCGGAGATTTCTGGCAAGGATTAGCAAGGAGTTTCAATATTAGCAGAGGTACATTAAGGAGTCTAGGAAGCTAAGTAAAACGCTTAATAAAGTGCCATGCTTGAACCCACCTGGTTATCTGTGCGCACCACGCTGGCACCATCGTAGGGTCCGTCGATGGGCGTGCCCGAGTCGCCGGAGCTGGTCGAGGAGACACTGTCCCGCCTCTGATACTACGCCACAAAATTGATACAAAATAATAATAAACAATCATGCACAAAAAAGAAAAACAAATAATAATAATGCCATGCTTGCGTCTCTCTGCCAGAACTTACCTGGTCACCACTGGTCACTGTCGCCGTCGTCTTCACCTCCTGGGTGACAACGCGCTGTTGCTGCTTGGTGGGATCATGGGTGCGGGTGGTGGCCACTGTCTTCTCCTCCAGCTGCTCGGTCTTGGCATTCTTGCCCAGATCCTCGTGCGTGGTGGCGGTGCGGGTGGTGACAGCGGTGGCCGTGACATATGCGCCACTCAGGTCGGTGGGTGTTGCATCAGCCTACGTTGTGGCAAGTGGAGTTGGAGTGTGAAGTTTTTGTGGGTTAGTGCGTACATTATGGCAAAAAGTAACATACAAATACAGTAAATACAACACTTAAAGCAAACAACAGGAAACTGCTTAAAGGCGGAAGTTAGGCGGAGGCGGAAGTTGAAGTAGTTTTAATTTCGAAAGCAAAGCGCAAAAAGACAGATAAATAGGTGGTTTCGGCTTTGAATTAAGGGGTATTTTAATGGAATTCGTTTAAAGTTTGCTTTAGTTTTTCTAATTACTTCAAGAAACTTTTAAATCTTATGAAATTAAATCAATAGGGATTTTAATACACTACTAAATATATTACTTTTTAACAACTTTTAATACCCTCGCTGGGTTATATCATTTTAGTGAAATGTGTGAAACGCATTGAGAAAATCATTTCCGACCCTATAAACCATATATATTCTTGATCAGCATAAACTGCCGAATCGTTCTAGACATGTCTGGAGGAAAATATTTTTTTTACAATTTTTTCGAAATTTTGTAATGGGTTAAAAATCGTTAAAAATTAGGATTTTTTTACATTTTAAATGAAGTATGCAGATTTATAAATCTATCAAAAACTAACATGGGACTGCTTTCCGAATTGAAATTAAGCGGTTTTTGGCTTAGTTATGAATTTTTTAAACTTTGATTTGACCAAAAAATTGTCATATAAAAATATTAATAAATATCGTTTAAAAAAGGGTATATTATCGATTTTTAATTCGATTCTATAAGTAAATTCCGAGCTGCAAGGGAATACCAACATTGCTTTCCCGAAGTTAGTTTTATATTAGGTTTGAAAAGATTTTAAATCTTAAAAAGTAACTTTTGCAGTTAAATAAATAATAACTTTTCTAACAGTCTAAAGCATAAATCACGAATTCCATAAATATCCCCTTAACAAGAAGCTAGAAAACCCTGATACCCAAAGATACTCATAAATCAGAGAGAGAGTATCCCCTGTGCTAACCTTGTGTTCCTGCGTGGAGTAGGTGACCTCGCCTGTGCCCAGGTTGCGCACCTCCTCCTCCACGTTGTGGGTCACGCCATCGTTGTTCTTGGTCAGCACCTGCTTTGTGGTGGTCTTCACCACCGTCGGCGTGCTCACCGGCTTGCCCAGCTTGCCACTCGCCGCCGCCTGAGCTTGGGAGCTGCTCAGCACAATGTCCTTGATCTGTTCGTTGCCATACTGTCCGGTCATGTCGTCGTCGGAGCTGCCCTCCGAGTCACGTCGCAGGGCACCCTTGCCTATGTGCTTAACGCCATCGAAGAATTGCTGCCTTGTGATGGGCACCGTCTCCGTGGTGGTCTGCACCTCTTTGCCGAAGTGAGAGGGATCGATTTGGGCGTAGTTAAGGATTAGCTTGCCGGTCACAGGATCTGTGACTGCCGTGGCTGGATCAATGTCACCCGTATTGGGATCAATGTCACCATATTCGCTCTTAATGCGTCCGGTCACGGGATCAATCTCGCCAGTCAGGGTCATCGTGTGGGTGACGGTGGTGCGGGCGCCGGCAAACCGGGGATCGTTGGGGTCCACCTGTACAATTTCACCGGTGACAGGATCAATCATATTGTACACATAGACGGTCTTATTGAAGAACTTAAGCACACGGCCGGAGACGGGATCGATCTCGCAGGTGGAGGGATCGATCTCCTCCGGACGGCCGCGCTCGTCCGTCTTCGAGATGAGCAGGATGCGGACGATCACGATCTTGCCCGTCTTGGGATCGACGCGGGCCAGCTTGGTGTACACCTCGCCGGACTCGGGGTCCACCTGGGTGGCCGCGTACAGTGGCTCTCCGGTGGAGGGATCCACCTCGCCGGTGGCCGTGTATATCTTGCCCGACGTCGGCTCGATCTTGATCGTGTTGGGGTCCAGCTTGGTCTGTTTCTTGATCTCGTTGGTCTTGGGGTCCAGGTAGCCGTAGATGGTGATAACGTAGCCAGTCTTGGGATCCACACTGCTGGAGATGTACTGCTGTTCCTTGGTGGCTGGGTCGCTGGCTCCGGTTGGCATCCAGATCTGGTTGGATTTGGGATCCACCACAATGTCCTTATCCTTGGCGGCACTGACTTGGGTGATGGGCGCTTTGGTGGCGGGATCCACACGCTGTTGCACAATCCTCAATGAGATAATCCTGGCATAGTCCTTGTCGGGTTTGTTGTTCTTGGGGTTGACCTGGTTCTTCAGCACAATCTGTCCCGTGGTGGGCTCAATCTTGATGTCCCTGGTCACTGTCTTGCCGGACTTGGGATCATTGAAGGTAATGGTGTGCTTGACGAGATCGATCTGTCCGTATTTGGTGTCAATCTTGCCGGCCTTGGGATCAAACTGTCCGCCTGAGGTCTCCACCTGAGCTGTCTTGGCATCGATGATGTTCTTCTTGGAATCGAACTTGCCCGCCAGCGAGGTAACCTCCACAATGGGATCAATCTGCTGACCCACCTCAATGAGGCGTCCCTGGTTAGGATCGATCTTGTGAGTCTTTGGGTCAATAACGCCCAGAATGGTGATCTGTCCAGTGCCCGGATCCACCTTCACATTCTTGCTGACCACAATCTTGCCCGACTTGGGATCAATGGCCTTCAGTTCGCCGGTGCGGGTGTTAATCTCTCCATACTTGGTGTCCAGGAGGCCAGTGTCCAAATTGAGGACGCCCAGCGATCGCTCCACGTCCCCATTAACGGTGTCTATCTTGCCGGTAGCGGGATCAATGCGACTGGTGATCACTGTTAGCTCCACCACCGGATTGTCCTGCGGGGTGATGCAAACGATCTGGCCGAGCGATTCGTCCAGGCGTCCCGTCTTTGGATCTGCCACTCCCGAAACCAAATGCAGATTACCCGTTTTGCTGTCCACATCGCCCTGGAACAGCTCCTTCTTGCCAGTCTTGGTATTCAGAGCCTCCAAAGTTCCCTTCTTGGGATCAATTACACCGTACTTGGTATCGATGCGTCCGGTGGCAGGATCTAGAATGCCAGTGGAGTGCTCAATAGTTCCATTCTCGGCATCAATGCGTTTGGTCGAGGGATCAAATTTGGAGGTAATGACCATGATCTTGACGCGCTTCTTCTTGGGCTTGCCAGCGGCAGCAGCAGCAGCTGCAGCACCAGCTCCTGGAGCTCCGGAACCTGATTTCTTGGGTGAACCAGGCTTCTTAGCACCAGCTCCCGCAGCAGCAGCTCCAGCAGCAGCTCCCGCAGCACCAGCACCAGCCTTCGCAGGACCCACATAGCCAGGCTCCTTATTATAACGCTGCGATTCCAAAAAGTCAGCTGTGGGATCTGAGATGGGCTTGTAGCTACCCGGAGCACCAGAGGAGTAGCCTTGAGGACCCTTTGTGGGCGAATAGGAACGCTTCTGAGAGTCGCTAAGCGGAACAGCGGCCGCATCCACAGCGCTGCCCTGGAGCTTGGCCCGGGTGGTGGGCGAGAGCAGGGGATCCTGCAGGAGCTTGGCCCGCGACTTGGGCGACAGCTGGCCACGGTTCAGCTTGTCCTGGGTGCGCGGCGATAGCTGGCCAGCCTTTAGCTTCTCGGCGGTCTCCTTCAGGGCATTCTCATTGCCCGGAGCATAGTTGAAGGCCAGGCCAATCTTTTTCTGCTGCGATGTGGGCGAAAGTTGCTCCTGTCCATCTGCACCGGACTTTCTAGAGTTGGGATCCTGGTCGTAGCGGAAACCACCAGGGGTATATGACTTCCTCGTCGGACTGGTATTGCCATCGGCATCCACAGCATACTCATACTGCCTGGTAACTCCTCCAGGAGTGGTGGATCCTCGGTTCTTGGCCGCATTCCTGGCCGCCTCCTCGAGATCCTTATCCTGCTGACCATCGGCGCCCAGACCCGAAGTAACGACCAGACCAAGCCGACCCATTTCCTTGTCCTTGTCCTTGTCCTTGCCCGACTTATCCTTGCCGCCGTCCTTGGACGGAGAGCCACTCTTGCTCTTGCGACCCGAGGAGAATATGCCAACCCCCTGATGTTCAATCGTTTTTCGGGATTCAAATCAAAAATAAAACGAAAAGAAAAGGGAGGGAATAAATTAAATTAAGAAAATAATATACAGATAAATTAAGAAGGTGAACTTAGGATAATTTTCGGGTGACACTACAAACTATCATAACTTACGGGTTGAACTTAAGTGAGGTGATTTGTGGATTTAGTGTGGGTTTAAGTACAAAATGGGTCTTGGGTTTACAAGGACTCAAAGGGATTTATAGTATTTACACGAGGGCGGGCTCATTCAGTGCGGGACTAATGCTTAGCTTAGTCTTAACTCTAAGAAACCTATGATCTAGCTTAGATTGGGTTCTTTTAGTTCGGGGAGATACTTACACGTCTGCCTGAGGACTTGTCCGACTTGTTGGAATCGTTCAGCTCATCATTGCCTATAAGAGGGGGATTAAATAATTTATAAGTAAAAATATTGAATACATTTTAATAAGACTTAATACCAATCCTTACCATTAACTGCCGAACCAGCAGCGGCAGCTGCAGCAGCTGCTGCTGCCTTGGCCGCCTTCTCAGCCTTTTCGGCCTTCTTCCTCTCCTCCAAGTCTCGTTTCTCCTTCTCCTTGCGCTCCTTTTCCTCCTTCTCCTTTTGCTTCTTCTCACGCAGCTTGGCCTCCTTCTCCTCATCCTAAAGGACAAATCAAAGATCAATTAATTCCAAAGTTCATATAATCCACAGAAAATACAGATTTTTTTTGGGGGGCGAAAAAGCCAACATGCTACAAATGTACAATACAAGCCATGAAATCATAATGTTTGGACATTAAACAAATAGGAATGCAATAAGTTATAGTTGTAAATGTTAATTATTTTTTAGTAGAATCGCATTTACAGTGCCAATGCTTGTCTTGTGTGGAATGTACTGGTGTGTTTTTTATGCCCTAAAATGGTATTTACAGAGCTCGGGAGGGGGATTCGTTTAAACATTATATAGACGGCACAAAAAAAAAACTGAGATTATAAAAACTAAAATTAAACACTCATAAAAAGGGAGATAGATATTAAGATAGATAAAATGAATGCACACAATAAAAACAGATATTTTGACGGCACAGAAATTACCATCAAGTCAAGGTACAGCTCTGTCGGGGGCTACCAGAGAGCAGGGGGTTAGAGGTTATGAAATCAAAAGATATATAAATTAATTAATAAATCCATTTAACATTTGGGTTACAGATTCCCTAAACTGAAACTGAACAGATAAGGAAATAAACTCAGAGAGGGAGGCGACAACATTCGATAAGCAGAGCAGAATCAAAATTAATATATATATATATTTTTTATAAGTAGAAGAAATCGAAGGAGAGACTCGGTTGTAGGTAGTAAAGTGTTAACCTGAACGGGGGGCTCAGCCTCGATGGGGTCGATCTCTAAGTTGGTCTCGTAGTCACCCTCGAGGGAGCTTTGCGAGGAGGCCGAAGCCGTGCCGGTGCTCGATTGTCGCATCAACTGGTTAGTGTTTTTAGGGGGTTATATAATTATAGTTTAAAGGGACATAACGAGCACATCGGAGGAGTCACATAGTAGTATTGGTAGTGTGTGTTTTTTGGTTTGTGAGTGGTGGTTGGTTGGTCGTGAGTTAGTAACAAACCGAGAAGAAAGTACAAAAGAAACACTCTCATGGTTAAACATCATCTGTTCATCATCTCATTATTAAAGCTAAGTGTCTTCATCAGGCATTGGTTGGGTTCTACCAACTGGCCAAGTTACCTTGTCCTTCTTGTTCTTGATGGGACTGCGACTGTGGGCATCAGAGCCATCGGCATTGCGGTCTCCCCGATGGTCCAAAGTGCTGCTCTTGCGGGCCACCTTCTCCTTCTCGGCCATGGCCAAAGCTAGGGAAAATATATATATAAATTAGGATGTAAATTTATAGAAAATAATGCCATAACTACCATCCATGCTGCGTGAGGTGAGACGAGCTCCCGACAGAGTCCTGTCAAAGGTAGGAGCCGTGCGATCCACGGGCGTGGCCCTGCTCTCATACTGAGTGCGTCCCTTGTAGCGATACTTGGAACCAAAGCGCGGGAACATGGTGGACTTGTTTTCCGGTTCCGGTGTCATCAGACGGAAGAAGGTGTGGTGCTCCACGCAGGATTTCCAAAGCTTCTTGGCGGCTCTATGATTGGCCAGCTTGAAGCCAATGGTGGACTCGTACTGCTCGAATTCACCGGGACGGATCTTGATGTAGAAATGGTGACGCTTATAGGAGATCTTTAGGATCTTGGGCCAGGCAAAGCGGTTGATGCGGAGTCTGTACAAGTTTAGAGATTAATTAATATGAATTTATAAATACAAAGAGAGAGAGTGACTCCTACTTATCGCGGTAGACCAGCAATCCAGAGGCACAAACGCCCAGCATAATGTCCACACCCTCAGAGTCCTTGGCCGGATGCAAATCCACGCCATACATGGCCAGCTTCTTGGCATTCTCCAGGTAATGCAGCTCAGCCTCCGCTGGCGATTGTCCCTTGTGGGTCTTGTGCAGATCCATGACCTTATCCTCCAGCTCCGGCGTCTGATTGGGGGCGATCTTGAAGTCCTTCAGGTAGGCACGAGTGGGCATATCCTTGACATCATAGTCACCCATCTCGGACTGCACCAGATAGGAGCCCAACAGGGCGTGGGTGACAAAGGTGCAGGGCAGACGACCCTCGAGGATATCATTGCGCACCTGCAGGCACAGGTGATAACGCGTGATATCCTCCTGCAACTGCGACGGTTCCGGCGGATAGAACTTGACGGCAAAGCTCAAAGGCCAGGGATCCGAGCGAAAGAACTTGGCCACCGGCTTCTCCAGATCCAGCCAAGTGCGTGGATCTGTGGGCGTCTCATAGGTCAAACCAAAGTAGTCCTTCTCAATGATGTTCAGGCCGGCACAGATGGAGTTGACCAGGTCGCGACCCTTGGCTTTGCGCTGAGGAGGGAGAGAGAGAGAGAGTTAAATATTGATTTATTATTGGGTAAAATAAGATATAACTCACATCAATGGTCACATCTAGGATGGAGCCATCCAGCAGCGTTACCCTGGCCAGGGCTGCCTTGGAAAATGATGAGGAGCTGGTCTTGGATTTGCTCTTGGTTGGCGTTTCCGGCTCAGCGGGTGCGGATGGTTTAATTTCCGCCGGCATCTTGGCTTCGTTCCGGCTACGCCAGCAGCAGCTTGGATGGGTCTATCGAAAGCAGAGAAAGAGTACAGACTTTAGTAGTTAAAGTGGCCGGAAGTGCCCACTCCTTGGCCTCATGTGTGTGTGCTTGTGTGTGGGCGCCTTTCGCTCATTAGAGATGTCTGCCAGTCTCTTCCATAAAACACAAGCCATTAAAAGCTTCAGAATTTGCCTGGCGCCAGACCAGGACAGCAGGACAACCCGCAACAGGAGGTGATGACCTACCAGATGATGTCATGATGTGATATGTACTTTGTACTCACTTTGAACGGTCGCGAGAATTTCTCCGGCTATGATTTCCAGCGAGCTGCAATAGAAATACAAAGAAATTAACCATTAAAAGTCGAAGTACGTACTGCAAATTGAATTTAACATTTTACTAGCGAAAGCGGTTACTAACAAACTTTCAAAAACCCCATAATAATAATCTCAGTTTGCAGATCTATTATTAAGTAGAGTGTACGCGGATGAGACACTCGTAATTAAGTCATTAAATATTAAGTGCATGAGAAATCACACAACCCGCAACCGCCTGTCCTTTTATGCAAACCGAAAACAAAAAGCCAAGTGATCGGGGACAGCTCACGTTTCAAGTTCAAACAGTGACATAAGTCGATTATATATAGATTAATTCCCATATATATATACGCTTATATAAGCCGGCAAATCGAGGCAGCGTCATGTTCTCCACTCGCGATTTCTTTTCTCTCTAATTTTCATATCAAAAACCCCTTTCCGTTGAGGCAGCTATCGATGTTCCGGCTCGGATGTGGCTGAGGCTAAAGCCCCACCCAGTCAAGAGCCTTCAATCAACGCTGATTGGCAAAAAAAAAGAAGAGAAAAACAAAAGAAAAACAGGGGCAATTAATGGTTAAGGTTCTCTATATATTCCAGATGCCACAAACAGCGATCAATTGGTCTTCGAAGCAATGACCGATTGCCTGGTCAATTTGCTATTATATACTCTCCTACTCTCCTCTATAGTGTTTAATTGATTCAGAGACGAAAAACAAGCTGAACCAGTTTCAAAAGCAGAGGAGGCTTCTTCAGCTAACTTTACACTTAAACTTTGTTGCCCACGGACTATAGCTGGGGGTATTATCATACACAAAACATACCATTTTGTATCTGTTTCACTAGAGAATTAACTCTCCGGTGGCGTCATCGAGAGCCTCACGATATATACATACATGTGTTGTATATGTTGAGAGCGCAGACAAAAAAAACATCTAATTTATATTATTTTTTATTTATTTCAAGCAACACACTGGCCAGACCATGTGTATGGCCATTACTTTGGCAGCGTTCTCGTTCCCATAGTTGAAGGTTGCGCATACGCAATGTTGACATCATCGTCATGCAGCAAATTATTTTTGCAGGGCCCTCTTTATTAAATCCGATTACATAGCCAAGTATATGCTCCCCCGATTTGTGATGAATCAGCTGGGCATTATCTTTACAGCAAATGCAAAAAACAATAACAAAAAGAAAACAAATTAAATCGTTCACAGCGTTTGATACGTGCGTCCAATGATTTATTTTCGTATCAACGATGACATCATCAACTCTGGCAGCATCACCAGCTATGGCATCAAATCGAGAACTATTTCTAGAGTTTTTTTTTTTTTTTTGTTTTGTTGTAGAAATATTTGCAAGATGCCTTTGCCGCCGACACCCAAAAAGATCGCCGAGCATTCGCTTCAATTGAAGGAGGTCGAGGTGAAATTCATCAACTGGCGCGCGTCTCTAATCTTCTTCACGTTACAAAAATATCTATAGTATATTATTGCAGGCCAGAAAGAGATATAGCAGGTCAGCACCAAGAATGTTTACACACAGAAAAAGGCCTTAATAAGTTGGTTTAAATTGGGATTGAGTACTAGTGAGACTTTTAAAGTGGATTAAAGACTTGAGGAACTACTCAACAAGAAGATTTACCTTTGTAGTTAAGTATTTGGATATTTAACTAGGAAAAATTATAGTTAATGTAGGACTAAATCAAGTATATTTTAATATAGAAATTAAACTAGAATTCAGGTAATTTAAAGCCTTAAATGAAGCTTTAAATAAAATCATTTGGAAGCCTAAAAACTCTACTGCATATTTAGTTTCTTGAGGGTTTATTTAACCCACTTTCGTTCTCATTAATTCAACTTTTTTAAAGCACATATTTTTCCTCTGTGCACAACTAAAGTAAAGTATTATTATTGTGAAAGTAACCAAGTTTGTGTCGCTGCAGCACAAAAGATGGCAATCTGCCCCGTCATTTCCAATTGAGAATCGGAATGAGAACGAGAACGAGTAAGTAAGTAAAGTATAGCCTGGGTGCTTCTGGGCTGCTCCCCTTTAATTAAGTTTCATTTAATAAAACGTAAATCAAATTCAATTTATTCTGACAGAGGAGGGTTCTCTCTCACTCTCACTCTGAGTATCTGATGGATACAACTTGGACATGTATCACCATCATTGCTTTATTATGTCACCTGGGGTGGCGTCACTTCACCTGGAATGACAACTACAACTACAACTAGGGCAGGTTTCCCCTTAGCCAGTCATTGATGAGTGAACTTTTTCCAACGGTATAACAATTTCCCTTTTGGCCGGTGAAATGCATAGCTTAAACTCATTCAAACTTGCCATTTTCCAAAGTCAACGAAGCGTTGCCAATAAATCGCATTTAAAAGGCCTGAAGCTTATTTCTTTATTATATTTTTCTCACATCCGTTTATAAACACAGCGGCATTTCCGCAACGCAGAAATATAATGTTGTAAATATAAAGAAAAGTGCAAAATAAATTTTAAATACATTTTAAACAAGGAAAGTTTTAGGAAAGAAAAGTTAGTTAGGTAACAAATATACTTAGTTGAAGTACAATAAAGGTTTTCCTTGATTTTTAAAGCTTTAAAGGTTGAAAAATATAGGCAATTTATGGCATTTCATTAAGTTTCCAAATAGAGTTCAAGAGTTCCCCTTAAATTTCCCTGCACTTGTGACCTTTTGTACCCATTGGAGGAACTCCCTTCGATTTTTCCTGCTGCATGTAATTATGGATATTTATCCGAGGTCTTGTGTACTTTTCGGTCTTGCCAGCGATAAACAGAAATACAGACTAAGAAATGCGTAAACATTTGCGCATTTTGCGTTGCGAAAAAGTGGGTCAATCAATATAGTCCGATTGGAGGAGGGTGTGTTCTGTCCCGAGACTTGCAGTTAGAATCCGCTAAGCGGACTCGATAAGCCAGATCCGTTCCCATTTCACACCCTGGGAACCCTGAGACCAAGTCCAGAAGTGGATCAGCCAGTCAATGGAGGAGAACGGGTTTCTGCTTCTGTTTTTTTTTTTGCTAGTCACCAGTGGATGCCACTCTTTTGGACAGCTCAAGTGACGGCTACGACTCAGCGGCTGACGAGTGAGTGGTGTGTCGCTTGACTAATTACCGCTCCGATCGGCGCTTGGCTGCTGTCAGCGGGACATAACCACGAGTGGGAATCGCACATCGCACACCCACACCCACCACACCCATTACCCATTACCCATTACCCATCGGTGGCATTACTCCATAGAGCCACCCTGTAACTCCCTGCACCACCCATGCACCGCTTGTCAATGGCTATTTAAAGCATTTGGCTTTTCCTGGCCAACGAACTCTGGTTTGCAGCGAAATGGTGCGGGTATTAAATGCACTGGGAAAATTAATAAATCACATAAATAATATAAATAATTAAAAAAAAAGAAATTCAATCCTTGAAATATACAAAAAATTTGTTAGTTTTAAGAGAGTTTTTTGCTTAATTTAATTGCTGTATTAATGCTGAAGGGGCAGCATTGCATTTAAAGGAATATAGAATTATATATTAAATCGATATGCTAGTTTTATGCTAATTTTTTGGCTAAATCAAAGTTTTGGAAATATCATAACTTAGTCAAAAATGCATTAATTTTAAATCGGAAAGCCTACAAACCCAGTTTTAAATTTCAAAAACACAAAATGGCAAATTATAATAGCATTCTTTGAGCAGATATATTTATCTATCTTTTATATGCCATTTTTTTTTCTACAAATCGCAGATTAAAAATCTCATAACTTAGCCAAAAATGCATTAATTTTAATTCGGAAAGCTTTCCTATGTTAGTTTTTTATATGTTATCAAATCTGCATACTCAGTTAGAAACGTATAAATTTGTAAATTTTTGAAAATTTTAATGATGGTACCCCTTATCTTTTTTTTGCAAAAATCGATAAAATTGAACAAAAAATTTTTTTTCTTAATTTATAGCTAGTTCGACTCGCCTTTTTATGCTGATCAAGAATATATATGATTTACAGGTTCGGAAATGATTTCTTCACTGTGTTTTAAGCTTCTGACTAAAATTAGGAAACAATTCTTAGAGTCAATATTTATTTATAGTTTTATATGACAATTTCAAATTTTAAAATATCATAACTAAGCCAAAAAAGCCTCAATTTTAATTCGGAAAGCTTTCCTATGTTAGTTTTTTATATGTTATCAAATCTGCATACTCAGTTAGAAACGTATAAATTTGTAAATTTTTGAAAATTTTAATGATGGTACCCCTTATCTTTTTTTTGCAAAAATCGATAAAATTGAACAAAAAATTTTTTTTCTTAATTTATAGCTAGTTCGACTCGCCTTTTTATGCTGATCAAGAATATATATGATTTACAGGTTCGGAAATGATTTCTTCACTGTGTTTTAAGCTTCTGACTAAAATTAGGAAACAATTCTTAGAGTCAATATTTATTTATAGTTTTATATGACAATTTCAAATTTTAAAATATCATAACTAAGCCAAAAAAGCCTCAATTTTAATTCGGAAAGCGGTCCTGTGTTAGGTTAATAAATCTGCATCCTCGATTTACAAATTTATTAAATACAAAAATTCTTCAATTTTTGACAATTTTAATGATGTAACCCCTTATAGTTTTTTGAAAAAATTGAACAAATTTGAAAAGTTTATTTTTCAACAGGACATGGCTTGTTTGATTTTGTTTTTGATGCTGATTAAGAATATATATGATATATAGGTTCGGAAATGATTCCTTCAATGCGAAAATTAAGAAAAACCATGTAAAAACTGGGTTCTAAGGGCAGACTAACCTAAGATCATTTCATGGAGATTCTTTTGAATTAAAAGGCTCATGATTAATTAAAAAAAAAATCTGTTACATATATATATATATATAAATTATATATATAAAATTTGCCTCAAAGTAACTCTAAAAATGATACGTAAATATATATATTTTCTATACCCAACATATTTCATTAAAAAGTACACCTCTTTTGCTTTAAAATCCTCGTTAATATTGATAAAAATCTTTAACCAATATTGGTAATAATTCGATATTTCTCCCTGTTTATGGGTAACCGCACCCACATTCGCTTCCCGATTCGATTTCTGTCCAGACGGCGAGGCGAATCGCGGAATCGGAGTTCTGAAAGGCAAGGAAGCTTTTGGTAAACAAACGAGCTGCCGCCAAGAGGAGAGAATTTCGTCCACTTCAGCGCTCCGCACATTAATCATAGACCCATAGACGCCTTCGCCCTATTCCCCCCTCATATTAAAAGAAGTAAAAATCGATGCGACAGCAAAATAAAAATAGAAAAACGGAAACCCAGGGCGCAGGAAGGAGGAGGAACGAGGCTGAGTAGCTTAGAGCTGAGGCCTTCTCTTCCGTGCGATTGGGTTTGTTGACAGATTAGATTGGTTTTTCCCCCTCAAGCACATGGGGGCGGGATGTGTGTGTGTGTCTTCCAAAGAGACTAAGATTAGCTGGCGAAATAGCGTAGTAAATTGTGAGATACTTTCGGTTATGAAGATTTTCTTGAAACTACGATCGGATCATTATGTTGGGAAAGCTAGGTTTTCACAGAGAGACTTGGAAGAGAGAGCCAGCGGAGAGAAGCCGCTCTTGCAGAGCTTCTAATAAAGCCAAAGACACACCTTTTTTTCGTGGGCTCTACACAACGCTCCATGCTCGAGTTGGAATTCAGGTTTTTGGCTTTGGCCACTCTTTTGGCCAGGTTAGCGTGCGGCCAGGTCGTTAGTGTAACGCTCTCTCTCTCTCTCTCTCCCTGTCTTACCAACTCACTCGTTCTCCGATTTTCCACTCGCCCCGCTGGCTCTGTACAGTTATTAGCTCAGGCTGGCACTCCTCGTTTGCTTTGCTCGGTTGCTTTATCTGTTTGTCCGCTTTGCCACCAACTTCTTTGCTGGCCAACCGGTTTCTAATGCAAGCTCTCCCGTTCGTCTGGCTTTTCTTGCCACTTTTCAGGCCAGGCCAAGAGAGGCAGCAGGCTTTATGTTAATGTTACTACCACTATTTGGGTCAAAGCCCATACCTCCCCAAAAATAAAATAAAAAGAAGAAAGAAAACTGGTAGAAACTCCACGTAAACAACTGCCGGACTGCGAAGAAGAACCAAATTCCCGTTGCCAAGTCAACGCCCCAAGTTTTCCGGGGATGGTGAAAATCGTGTGCCCGTGACTCAGATGAAGGGGTTCACCAAGAGGTTGGGGGGGGGGAGAGGGGGTGGTGGTGAGCCACTGAACCAGTCACCTGCCATTCATAACTGTGCTTCTGGCCTTTGTTGTGGTGTCGCTCCCCCCACCCCCCACCTTATCTTATCGTTGCGTCGTGTCCTTGTTTATACTCGATATCAGCCAGAAATGCCAATGCGAAAAACTTTGGCTCGATGTTCTGATAAGAACGCCACGGCAACCTGATGGCTGCTGCCTGTTTGCTACCCCGATCGATTCGGTTTCTATTTTTGTCACAGTGACGTCTCAAATGCCGCTGGGATTCAGATATTCAGCGAGTGGATTTTTTGGCCTATGAAAATGCCATCGAAGAATTCTTCTGGTTCCAAAATTATATCATATATTGAGGGGGAGAATGAGATTAGAGAGATATATACATATGTAGAAACTTGTGCATTTCTATTTAGTTTTTTTTTGCCTTTTTGAGGCTGTTTTTGGTTCAGGTTTTGGGGAGATTTGAAAAGGTATCTATAAGATATGTTAAGAAGTTTTCTGAACCTAGAACCTGCTTTAATTAGAGTTTGTAGTACAAACTTTGTATCTCTTTCAGTATGCAGATATCAGATTCATTTAAGTTTAGTTTTGAGATACATTTATCATTTTTAAAGAAGCTTTTCAAGCATGAATTAAGATATTCTATTTTATAAATCTTTCCATGACTTATAGCTGCCTCAAAAACATATTTAAACATAAATGTTAATATTTAAACAAGTGTTTCTTAAATCTTTTCCCAATTTAAAGAGTTTCTCTTAAGGAATTTCACAGAATTTAAGTTTCTAAATACCCATAAATGCTTTAATAAGGTTCTATAAACCGCATTTGTATCTTTTTATCTACACTACCTGCTACTTCCCAGCATTTGTATCTTTTCGAATCCAACAATCTGGCGATGCAATACCTTTGCTTAACGATCACTGTGTGTGTTGGCGCGTTGCCCTGGCTACTGTTTTTTTATGGCTAATAAGAATTTCCCACCCTTTTTGCGACGTTTCTCAGCCCCGCAAAATGCGAAGCAAACGAGGAAAACACAGACGAAGGAAAAGTGGAGTAAAATGGGTACAGAGAGGCGGAGTGGCAGAGAAGGCGACAATGTGGGGCGCGCGAGTTGATGACAAAAACAAGAAAACGTTAAGAATATCGTGCCAAAAGATACACTCGAAAAGCTCACAGATACAGATACATAGATTCAGATACAAGCAGCGATATTGCGTTGAGTGACTCCCTCTCTCTCTCTCGATGGATAGAGAGAGCGGTTATGCTGCTGCTCTCTCTCTCTCTCTCACTCCCTGCTCTTTGCTCTCCCCTGTATGTGTGTGCCTATGAAGTCATACCGTTGATGCGCTTGTGTTTGTATCAAAAAAATAAAGCCACCGAAAAAAACTCGCGACCACAGCCCAAGAAAAATATAATTAAGAAAATAATCAAATTAAGAGCCATTACTTACCCAATTATTAGCGGGGCTTTGGGAATCCTTTTGCTGACTTTAGCTTTTCTTAATCCACTTCAAAAAAGGATGCGTAGATGAAGAGAATACTTTGCGGCGCGCTTTAACCGTTAGTTTCTGCTGTTGTATTTGTGTTGTTTTCACTTTTTTGCTTTTCTTTTCGCCACTGTTGTTGTTGTTGTTGTTGCACTCTACACTGGTAAACAAATTCTTGGCCACTTTTTTCTATTCGAACGCGAAAAAAGACAATTTGTTGTTGTCGGTCGGTGAGTAGTCGTTGAATACCTGTTGAAAAGTTTTGAACGTTGAGTTTTTTGAGTTTGAGTTTAAGTGTGAGTAATAGAGAATAAGCCAGGGGTGGGGGGAATACACGCAGAGAGAGAGAGAGAGAGGGAGAGAGAGGAAGAGGATGAGGTATAGGGGTGGGGCGTGGGCGAAAACTGCGCGAATAGTGGTTGCTAATAAATTAAATTCTGCATTTATTTATAAACACACAACCGAATTGCGCGCCTTTCTTTGCTATATTTCTTTTCTCAGCGTTTTTCTTTTCTTTTTCTATTTTTTTTTTGTTCACTTTGGCTGAGAATTCTAGAACCAATGAACGAGCGTCGCAAACGTACCGTCTTCACAAATATTCGAAGTGCTGTGCACGAAGAGCAAACTGGTACTGTTCGCCTAGAGTATCTTACGGATACTCTCCGCCGTTCGCTTTTCAAATTTGATTCGCTTTGAGTTGCTTTCCTGGTCGAATGGAGCGGAGAAACAACCACCGAATGAGTGGAATGGATTTGAGTGATTTCTTCAGTGGGTGCTGAGGCCAGTGTTGGGTAATGTCAGTGGTTTAATCCAATTTGAATTTTTTATGGCGCCAGAGATTAATTTCTGATCTAAAAAATAAATAAAATAGGCTTTAAAATATGTTGAAAATTTATAAATAATTAAAATAAATCTTTGCTTTATTATATAGTCAAGAATTTGATTAAAACGTTTTAGATTTAAATGAAAAAACCTAGTATTTTTACTACGTTAGGAATTTAGTAAATTTCAGTTTTTTTAAATATTAAATTTTTTTTTTTATTATATTGTAACTAAAAATGAATAAAATATAGTTAAATATAAAAATACGAGTGTGTTTTCGTAGTTTCCACAATATTAAGAAACTAATTTAAATATTTTTCATTATTTTAGAAAAGAACGAAGTTGTCCCCATTAAATTTTCTGAAAAATTACAAATTTTTGTTAAATTAAAAATTTTTTTCTTTAATTCTCAACATTTATTGCAGTGGTTCCTACATTTATTTTAATGTATATATCTTCTAACTAGCTTTATGGGCTGTTTTCGCCTTCGCTGTTTAGCTAAACTGAGCTTCAAATCAATTATCTTTAAAAAATGTTTAAAAATCAAACATTTTTTCAGAAATATAATTCAGAGCCTCGATTAACTCTGATTTAAATAGAAAACAGATCTTCTCTAACCTTTATCGTTTGCGATACAGGCAGGGCTTCAGCGAGAACGGCTTCAGTTTAGTGGTTTTGGGCACATGCCGCATCTTCTTGAACTGGAAGAAGTAAAAGTAGTTGACGGCCACATCCTTCTTCACCATATCAAAGCCACAGGCACTCAGGCAGCGTACAAATTGCCGTACATCCTCGAATCGCGACTGTATCTCCGCAATGTACACATTTCCGTGCAGCTTCAGCACTCGGTTGGCTTCCAGGAAGAAATCGTTCAGATCGGTTCCCATCAGGGAGAGGCAATACACAGCCACATCAAGACTCTGAGCCTGCAACGGGGTATCCGTAATGTTGCAAGCAATGATGTCGCCCTTAGCGGCCACCAGATCCATAGAGTACACCTTGTTCGGCACGGATTCGGCCAGTTTTCCTTCGCCGCAGCCAAAGTCACCAATGATGGCTGTCTTTGGTATCTTCTTGATGGTCTTGATGATGCGATTCAGGGGATTGAGGGGCCACTTCTCCACCTGCTGACGGTAGCCGGCATGGTAGGCCTCGAAGGCAGAGGCATCCTTGCGGAACAGAGCCTCCGCCTTGCGACTGGTCACGGAGTAGAGCTGCTCGTTGATGTACCGAAAGCGGCCGCCCAGAAGCTCGGTTTGCAGTTTGCTGGCCAGCGAGGTGGCCGGTGCAGGTGAGGGTGCCGTCTCCATGGCCTCCACTGCAGCCTGGACGAGCTCTGGTTTCAGTTTCACCTCCTTTTTGCCGCCTTTTGTGGCCTGCGTGGGTGGTCGCTGCTTCTCGATTCTTCCCAATCTCACTTTGTGCATGGCACGGATGCCATCGTCCATGTCATCATCCTCATCGTCATCCGAGGGTGAGGAGTTTCTGGAGGGCGGTGCCAGAGGTCCACCGCCTTGCCGGTAAGTGAATTTGTCGGTCGCCTTGGGTTTCTTGGCCTTTGCAGTCTTGTCCCTCTTCTTGGGCTTCTCTTTCTTGGGCTTCTTTTTCTTTGGCTTCTTGGTGGCGGCTACTCCATTTCCCGCGGAGTTGGTTGTCTTAAAATGCATAATCTCAGCCCCATCTTCCCAGGCCGGCACGGCAAAAGGCTGCATTTTGGTTGAGAAAAATTTGTAAACAAAATTGGAGAAACACGTGAAGACTGGTTAATGTGGTAGAACGCCTTTTCTGAAAAATACCAAAGGTGCAGTTATGAGTAATATACTAACGCGTTTTAAGGAGCGGGAATATTTACAATTTTTGAATTTGTACACACGAGTTCTTAAATAAATTATTAAAAAACTTAAATTATTTCAAAAATAATTAAACATAAGTTCAAATTATAAAAAATAAATATAAAATTTTAACAAAATCAATTATGTCTGATTAAAAACTATTTACAATTTAATAAAAAAACAAACCCACAATACAAAAAACAACCTCATTCTTTCACATACTTGTTTGTTTTTTATTCTTGCACTAAACTAGAGTTCAACAATTTTGTGGGCTTTATCCGGTATGCTTTCCTTCTCTTTTTCTTCTGTATTAGTTTGGTAATTTTCGGTTTTACGCTTTGTTTGTTTATGAACTAAATAACTTAATTGCTAGCTGAATATTTTTACAACTGAATTAGCGACGAAAAGTGCTGCTGTTTTGGAGAAAGTCAGTCGTCCCTCTCTGTTTCCCTTCGCCTCGTAGCTTATAGCCTAGAATCGTAACTATGACAATCAGTTTGTTTTTGAGAGACAGACCTTTTGAATTTTGCATTTAATTTAATTCGTGTTAATTCGTGTTTACTAGGTTATAGAAAAGTCCTTACTTCACTAAGTTTTTGTTTCCCAACAAACCGTATATCATCGCATTTTCCCCACCCAAGACCCGTCCCGAATCCCTATCCCTATCCCTATCCCTTCCGTTGCGAATTATTTGAGCCAATCGAAAGCTAAAAACGTTGCGATTTACAATGGCTATTTGCGATCTAAGAAGTACCTTTTATTAGTGGCTAATTGCGGGGGAATTCGTGTGGCTAATTGCGTACCATAAGTGTATGTATATAGTTGGGATCTCCTCTCCTCCTCCTGCTGCTGCTGCTGACTACTGACTATTTTGGAAACGTCGTATCTATATATTGGGGGGTGGCTTTGTGAGGCTCGTGTACACAAAAATCTCTAACGTAACTCTAGCCGTAATCCGTAGATCATTATAAAGTTAGTTTTGTATAAATTAAAGCATTTCATTTGTAATACAAAATATAACTACAACGGAATTGGGGCAGATATCGTGTGACCGGCGAAAGATGCCTCCAGGCTGCCTCTTCTAGGTGCGTTTAAAATTGCGCTAATTCTAAGCTATCTCGAACGCTTTTCTCTCTATGATCAGTGATTAGGTCACTGCCTTAGCCTACGAGTAATTAAATTACAGTTAATAGTTGACGACGACGGCGGCTGCGGGTGCTGCGGCCCATAAAACTTGGTTTTTATATTTAAAATATAACATTGGATTAAGCGGGGCGTCTAAGTAGCTTAGTAGCTGGCCTCGTGCCCGGCCAGAATGTACAGATCGTGTCCCTCCTCGCTGCCCAGGGAGCCGGTCCTCAGCAGCTGGCTCTCCAGGGCCACAACCCTTGATGAATACAGATTTTAAAGCATTAGATTTCTGTTGTAATTATAAACATAAACGAGATCCTTACTTATCGCTGCCCAGCAGCCTGTAAGTGCGACTCATATCCTTGATCTCCTGCGTGATTTCGCCATTGCGCAGCGATTTTCCCTGCATGCCATGCTTGTGGAAGGCCAACACGCTGTCCGGCAGGCAGACTGAGGAGTAAAACAAATCCATTAGATAATGTTTAGTTGGATATTTGATCTCCCTACCAATGCTGTCCACATTAAAGTCAAAGTTGAGCTGCGATACCATCTTCTTGTGCTGTTTAGGGTTGCCCTGCAGCGTAACCACCTGCATCACATTGCCATAGCAAACGAGAATGGCGTCCTTCTCCACCTGGTGCACACGCACCACCTTCAGCAGGTCGCGTCGCGGCACCATCGTGGCCATGGCGTCATACTCCAGGTCCTCCGAATGGAACCAGCTGGCACCTGTAAACAATATCTCCTTAAAACCAATCCTTGAATTGAAATTTCCTTCCACTCACTGTTCATGTTGATCAGCTCCAGCTTGAGGCAGCCGTTCATGGCCTTTCTCACACCCGTACACACAATGGGATACTCCAACTCTGGCGTTATAATCATCTCAAAGACGGGCGTATGTCCATTCTGGACACAGCCATGACCTCCGCCCTGGATACTAATGGCCGGCCACTCGCACTGCTTGAGCAGCATGAACTTGTTCAGTGGATCGTACCATTGCATCAGGAAGATGCCGCTGGGCGTCGCTCCGCATAGGTATTTGTAGCCATTGTACGGATTCCGGGTGACACAGCACTGCGTGCAGCCCTTCGTGTCCGGCACCTTGGTGGTTAGCGCGAATTTGCGGGGCACCAGACGCTCCGGAATTTTGTTCATGTGCAGCGAGAAGCGCACCGTCTGCTTGGAGTGCAGGGCCACCAGGTCGTGTCGATAGAGCTGGCAGGATTTACCTGTAGAGAAAGGAAATACAATATATATAGTAAAGGATCTACTATATCCAGGAAGGGACTACCCACCCGACAGGCTCATCAGCACATCCTTGATCACATACAGCCAGGTGGTGCGTCGCGGAAACAACTGATCGATGGCCGCGTCATGGAGCTCGTTCATATTGAGGTTATAAATACCCTCCTCGGCTCCAATGAGCAAATGCTGATCCCGCGTCTCCGGGTGAATCCATGAGGCCGTGCAATGAACACGCAACGGACAGCCATTGAAGATCTTGGAGAAGCAGGCGCCCATATGCACCTTGGGTGTGGGCGGCAAGCCATTGGAAATGGGTCGCGGTGGAGTGTGCCGGCGCTTATGAGAGCGTTTAGGAGGAACTGGAGGGGTATTGTTCAACAGATCCGGTTGGGCCTCCTTCTCCACTGCTTAGGGAATAGAGAAATTCATTAATTTTTACTTCACTTGAGTATGCTTCAAGCACAGACTCACCCTCATCATCATCTTGGGTGCCGCCATCGCTGAGGCTGCGTGTACGCGAAGACTTGCCCATGTCATTGATCAGTCCTATAAGCTGATCCATGGAGCTATGGCGACGAGGCGAATCCTCCAGACCATTCTGTGGGTTTATAATATATAAATTACTTTTGTAAATGTTAAATACTGGCTTAGGCTGCTCACCTGGTTGCTCTCGTGCCGGTAATCACAGTTGTTGCCGCCCGCTGCATTGCTGGAGCTCCCTGGCGCCTCGCCTGAGCTGCTCCTCAGCAGATTCTGGTACAGATGCGAGGAGTTGGAGCTGGAAGAGGCTACCTCGTTGTCCCTCGAACCAGACACTGCTGCTGCTGCTGTTGATGTCACTGTTGCCGCTGGACAGTTGGAATGCATGTAACCATCGCCCACGGACGATGGCATGGCAGCTGGTGGTGACGTGGCATTTCCCTCCACCTCGTGCTTGTCCAGGAGGCCATTGGTATTGGAACCTCCAGCGCCTGCAGCGGCATTGGAACTGTTGCTACTGTTGCCGCCGACTGCATCGCCGCTGCAATTATCGAGGAGTAGGAGGCGATTATAAAACGAAGCTGATGATGACGCGGACGCGGAGGATGAGATCGGTGCCTGGCCATGACCGTGCCCGTGCCCGTGCCCTAGCCCGTGCCCATGGCCGTTGTTCGCCTGCGATGCCTGTGCCGCGGCGGCCGAGCGATAGTTGCTGCTGTAGCGGAGATAGTGAGCCGCAGAGGCAGAGCAACCGGATCCGGAGCCGGCACCGGCACCAGCAGCAGCAGCAGCAGCGGCGGCATTATTCATTGCCACATCGGCAGCCATTAGATCATCGTCGTCGTCGTCGCCACCGACATCGTTGTCACCGATGCTGGTGGTGCGCAGATTGGACAGTCCCAGGCCGGGGCCCATGCCCAGGCCCAAGCCCAGGCCCAGGCCGAGGCCCACATGGCTGGAGCCCATGCCCATGCCCATGCCCAGGTAGGCCAGCGAGGCGGACGAGCTGATGCAGTTGGAGTTGGCATTGGAGGTCACCGAGGTGCTGGAAATGGACGAGGTCATTGGATGGTGGTGCTGATGGTGCTGCTGCTGCTGCTGCTGCTGCTGTAGCTGAGCCTGATGCTGATGATTCTGCTGCTGCTGATGCTGCTGCTGATGGTGGTGATTCGGATTGGGATGGTGAAGCTGATGCTGGTGATGCTGGTGGTGCTGATGGTGCTGATGGTTGGTGCTGGTGCCTGCGACTCCGACTCCGCCTCCGCTGCTGCCGCTGCCGTTTGCCGCCGCCCCGCCTGCTCCCGCTCCCGCTCCACCTCCTCCTCCTCCTACGACGCCTCCTCCCACAGCCGCTGCTCCATTGTGGGATGAGCAGCTGCATTCGGTGGAGCCGCCGCCGCCGCCGCTGGTTGTGCCGGCCAGTAGTGGGTCTTTGGTGTCGTTCAGTGGCAAGGTCGCTCTGCAGAGCATTTCAGACGGACGAGAGGGAGAGAGAGAGAGAGAGAAAGAGAAGAGAAGAGAGGTTGCCGGTTGCTTTGAGCTACTTTCAGCGATTTCTGGGTGGGATTTACTGGGGGGGGGACAGCGTGATTGAGTGGTCTGAGTACTGAGAGTGGTTCTGTGTGGAGTTCTCTTGTGTGGCGGAGGAGGCAGGAGCAGCTACTACTGACCGCCCGGCTCATCCAGTCTGTAGTTAGGTGTTGATTCAAGGCATGCACGAGGGGTAAGGGTAAGGGGAAGTATGTATATCGAGGGAAACAGTCCGTTATCGAACTTTTATCGACAGATTAATAAATCGAATATCCAATTTTCTCCATCGAATATGGGCAAAGATTTAATATATCGATATTTCCTGATATCTTTTCATTCAATATCGATAATGTATAGATATTTTAGGTCCTTATTAAGGGTTTTATTCCATTTACTTGATTCTTGTGTGTGTTTTTTTCTGGTCACATGCAATCGAAATGATAAACTGCCTCTAAGCGGATTACGCTCTTAATGAAATTATTTGCGGAAACGTGTCCTGATGAAGTCCTAGTTGCCTTCTTTTTTTTTATGTGAGACGTGCGAGTTAAATAAATAAATAAATAAACTAATATGAGGCCATAAATTATGCATGAGATGCAAAGCATAAAATGCTCAAACATCCAATGGAAATGTGGAAAATGCTTGAATAGAAAATTGCCTCGCACATGAATGCACAGAATACAGGAAAATGTGGAAAATGTAAAGAGAAAGAGATGGAGAGAGCATGAAGAACAGAAACAGAAACAGTAAACAAAAACAGCAGTAGCACAAAACAAAAAAAAAAAAAGGAAAAGAAAATGCTGGGAAAATTAATTCTAAAAACAAAATGCGAACAATTTAGCCCAAAAATAAAACAAGATGAAAAAACAAACAGAATTTTGCTGGAAAATCTCAACAGCTGCAGATGAAAATTCAGAGAGGCAGAGAGGCGGAGACGGAGAGCCAGACTGACCCCAAGGAATCCCATTTTCCATTTCCCATTTGCCGAATTAGTTTTGTGAGAAATTTTCAGTTGATGTTAGCATAATTGCAATTTGTTTTTCATCGTGTTTTTTACCCGGGCCCCGAGGCCGCAGAACAGCTTAGTCTTTGGTCGTTTTCAATCAATATACAAACAAGGAATAGAAATCGAAATAAATGCTGCATATTTTACAGGACAACAGAGATTTCGGGGTCCAGGATCCTCTGCTCCTGGCTACGTGTGGCCTTACTTTTGTTTGCACTCCCTATAGCTAGCCTACGAGGAGTAGTGCCAAATAATAATAATAACAATAAAAGCAATGTGACGGCCATTTGCACACACATCAAATAAATAAACAATAAACATGATGCGGAGGAGAAAAGGGTGGCCGGCAGCGAAAGGACCTGAGCGCACAAATCGAGCGACAATCCAGCGAGGCATAAATTCTGACCGAAAATATAAAACCAATTGTTCTGTATAAATTAGTTAAGAACAAGGGCAAATAATTGAGCCATCGAAGGGGTCATTTTTTGGCCAGCCCATGGTGCGTATACGTAATATCGCTCTCTTTCTGTTTGGGTTGCTCCTTGGAGTTTTCAGCCATTTCTATTCGATAGACAAAAGGCAAAAGTTTAGGAGAAATACGAGAGAGAGAGAGAGAACAAAGCCTCGCCCCATAGACAATAAACCCACAAAACAAAGGCCTCTTTCTCCTTTTCTACGACAAATAAAAAAAACAGAAATGGAAAAGAAACGAAAGTAAAAGAAGTTTGGCAAACAAAGAATGCCAAAGTGGAACTAACTTATGGGAGATGAAGAAGAAAAGGAGGCCCGTAACTTAATATGGTTTATAAATGGACGCCAGAGAAAGCGTAATGAAAATGTTGCCAGGACCGAGTATCGGTAGTAATAAACCAAGGTGCCAGCCTGGCCACAAGATGAGCTCCTGCCGTGCCTGTTCATAATGATAATGATGCTGCTGCTGCTGTTGCAAGTCTGACACAACCTTGCTGTGAGTGTGCGTGTGTGTGTGTGGCTGTGATGGCTTGGCTGCGTATCCTGACGCCTGTCAGGATACAGGATAAACTCACACAAATTTTGCAAAAAGTGTGTGCATGTGAAGAGGTGGCCAAGCAAGGAGCCAGGCAACTTCGTTACTTGCTGAGATAAACTTTGCGTTAAATCAAAGTCAAATTAAGAGTTTTGCATGGTACAGAAAATATCTAGGTGAGCGCAATATTAACTAGGAACTAGGGTGTTTATCTAGGATATAAATCGAAAAGCAAAGTAATGAGCTGCTGCTCTTTTCCTTTGGATTAAAATTCGCTGAGAAAACTACAAATTCTCAAGATTTGAAGTCTGTTTTAGTAGTATGCAATGTTACTTAAAAGTCCTGTGTTTGTATGAAGTTTATATAAGCATACTTTAGGAAAACAAAACTCTTAGTTTACTTTCAGAACTCTTGATTGAAAAGCTCTTTCAAAATGTATATAAAAGTATGCCTAAATCTTTCCAACAAACGAAATGGTATTTAGCATGGCATAAGCACAATTTTAGTTTAGTTTTAATATTTAAAATATGTCTTAAAGTACCCACAATTTAATTAAATTTAAGAGCATTTTCCATGTTATTAGATGATGAAAATGCTATCGCCGCTTAGTTCCCTCTGTTAGATATTCAAAATATTAGGATTTTGTCAATTTCAGGTTATAACCATTAATTTCAAGAAATTTGTCCTTGTGAGTATAAAACATGAATTACGACAGGGGCAGAGGGGGTGGAAGGGGTGGTTAGTGTGCTTGAGTCTATGATCTATGTGAAGGATTGGGTGTTACACCGAGAGAAAGAGCCGGGTGGTTCATGTGGGGCTCGAGTCTAAAGGAATACATTGGTGGGTGTAGTTACCTTAGCTTCAGCTCCTCATCAATATATTGTAAGAGGCTCCTACAAAAATCAAATACAAAAAAACAAAAAGAACATACGGAAAAAGTCATAAAATTAAAATCAACAAAAGATTTCAGGTGTTAAGGTTTGTTTTTCCATAAAAAAAAAAGATTAAAATTAAAAGATAACAAAAGTAGGAAAAGTAAACAGAAGTTAGTTGAGAAAAACCAGTACTAGAAAAAACAGTACAGGAAAAAATCAAAGCTACTGTCTCACAGATTTGTCAAAAAAGCATTATTAATAATTATTAAATATATATGTATATATCTGTAGTAAATTGTATTGTAAATTGTAGTATATATAATATATATATTAAAGTGTGTTCAGCAGTGTTCAGCAGCCCTGGACGCTATATAAAATTAAGGACGAGAGAAAAAAATGTACCCCGAAATCCTTACGCCCAATTAAACGCATCAGCTAATTTGGCATGTTCATAATTTTCGCCTAATGTCATCTGGCGCAGCCCATTTCCCCCACTTGAAAAGCCCCATAAACGGGATATTAAAAAATGTGGCAATTTCTTGCTCGCTTTTCTTTGCTTTTCCTATGCTTTTCTCAGCTTTTCTCCTCCCCGTTTTCTTTTTTCCTGCTTAGGCAATTAATAAGGCTCCCTTTTGTTTGGGTTTCTCGCCACAGCAAAATAAATTCCTGTTTTATTTTCTGCTTATGATGGTTTAAATGAAATTAACCATGACGGCCGTCAGTCCACCAGCCAGAAGAAAGGCGTAAAGACTTAGCCAGCTTTTTTTTGGGGAACAAACTTTTTGGGCGCCACAAAGCAGCGGAAGCTGTGGAACTGGTGGGCTGAGGAGGCGTGGCACTTAGCCAGCAAGTCGCTTGTAAGTAGAGCTCAGTACATAGAATTTGGCGCAGCCGTTTTTATGGCTTCAAATAAAATTGAGAGACTGAGAGACTGAGACTGCTGCATGCATAGACATAGAGCCACTTGGCTTTGTTGTCTGCTTTTGCCGCCACTCCACCACATTCGAGTGGCGGCTGCCGCAAAGTGTTTGCCACATAACTCAAATCGGGCACTTTCCAGGCGCCACCTCCGCATCCACATCCACATCCTCTCCGGCTGCTCAAAGTCCCACTGATCGGAAGAGGGGAAAGGACATGGGGCGAAGGGCTTATTAAACGAGCCAAACTCCTCCATCAGCGAGGCAACAATGTGTAATCATTTAAAATGACAAATGGCAGAGGCACCGAGAGAAATGGGAGTCAAAAAAGGGGGACTGAGATTAGCTTAAAATTCACATAAATCAACTTTTCCTGAGCTTGAATTTTCCCTTAAATATTCAATTTCCCCAGGTTTTAAGCTTCTAACTTCAAATATAACAATATTATATAACCCAAAACTTCATTAATTCATAGTGATGTTCACTCATTTTCTCCCAGTGCCGCTTGCCTTATGGAAGCTGCATTTGCTGCGTGCCACGGGGCGTATGCTTGATGTGCCATCCATCTATCCTTTTAAGCTGGCTCTTGCTCCAGTTAGCTGCGTTAATTGATTTCTTGGAGCAACTTTTGCCCAGCAACAAGCCCTGAGAAGCAACTCCCAGCTAGTTTCAGCTATCCTGCCATTCCTGCTAGTGTTTTCTTGAATCTTCTCAGTGATCCCAGGCACTGAGGCAGCTTATAATTATTATTATTATTATTATTATTATTATGTTGCAGCCTGGTCTTGGGCGGAACTGACTGGTTGCCTGCCTGTTGTGCTCCGCTCCCTGCGTAATTACTTCTGGCCTGGCAATTAAATAGCCCACAAGTTTGCCAAGGTTCTGCCCAGGGAATCATGCAATGCCAGGTTGCAATTATACTTGGAAACTCTTGGGGTAGCTCTAGGTAGCCAGGTAGCCAGGTAGCTTGGGTAACTAGTTAGCTGGGAGAATAGGGATTCGCACTCGTCCATGGAGTGGATGAAAAATTCACAAGGCAGCGGCGGACACGTAGCGGCAACTAAGCGCAAAGCGTGTATAGCAACCATACCATACATATACACATGGAAAATGCAGCAATATACAGTACGAAAGTAAACACATAGCTGCCCGGGAAAACGTGCTTCTAAAGAAAGAACAAAAACAAAAAAAAAGAAACTAGAATCAACAAAATATGGACTGTCCAAAGTTCCGAGCAAATTACACACAGCGAGCGTGCTGTGGCCACCCAAAACCGCCAGCATAAAAAGCGCAATATGCAATGCAGAACGCTTCTCGGTTCAAGCCAAACCTTAAAGACATGTTCATAATCAGGGTGCCGCTCAATTTCGGTTTGGATCGCCTACAACTATAAAGAGAAGAAGAACGGAAGAAGTGGCTATAGAATGGTTTAACTAATGCCTGAATGGCGTTCACTATCCTCAGGATAAAAAGGCTGACAGAAAAGGCTCTCACAGGCTCTCTCTGCCTTGCGGGCTGCATTTAGTTCAGAGTCTTACTCCAGTCCAGTGTGTGTCTGAGTAATGTGTGTGTAACTTTGAAATAGTGTATGTGAGTGTGTGTAAACTGAAACCGAAGTACCAAAACCCAAGTCTCGCAAGTAAGAAAAACCATAGTGTTTCGAAGTTTAAAAAAACTGTAGCATAGGTTCAGGCAGATAGAGATATAGAGAGAAAAAACGGAGCGGAGAAATAGAGGAATCTCGACTTCACTTACATGTCACTTGGTAACGTCTCGGGACTAGAAGATCGCTCATTCCTCCACGTGGAGTTCGTCATGCCTGAGAAAAGAGAAGCAGCCAAGAGAGAATTAGAAGAAAGCCAGAGAGTACCATATAATACCCTATAATAAAAGGATGGGTAGCGTCCTTACACTTTAATAAACTAAGGTAAATAAAAATATTATTGGGGTTTGGTATACAAATCTTCATTTAGCAATGCACACAAAATAGTACTAATTTATTTAAGGTGGTAAGAAACGTGTTAAGATATAAAGATAAAGAAGACTTTTTATATTTCTATAACCGTGCAGAGTATTCTAATTTCAGTCAGACCCTCAAAACTAAGTGAAGGAGGTATTTCCGACCCTATAAATCATATATATTTTTGATCAGCATCAACAGGCAAATCTTTCTAGCCATAAAAAAGATAATAAAATTTTTTGCCAATTTTTTTCAAAAAATTATAAGGGGTTACATCGTTAAAATTGGCAAAAATGTATATTTTTTTACATTTTAAATTGAGTATGCAGATTTATTAACCTACAAAAAACTAACACAGGGCTGCTTTCCGATTTCAAATTAATGCATTTTTGGCTTAGCTGTGAGTTTTTATACCCTTGCAGGGTATTATAATTTCAGTCAGAAGTTTGCAACGCAGTGAAGGAGGCACCTCCGACTATATAAAGTATATATATTCTTGATCAGGATCAACAGCCGAGTCGATCTAGCCATGTCCGTCTGTCCGTCTGTCCGTCTGTCCTTCTGTCCGTCTGTCCGTCTGTCCGTTTGTCCGTCTGTCCGTTTCTACGCAAACTAGTCTCTCAGTTTTGAAGCTATCTGAAAGAAACTTTGTAGTTAGCTTTCTATATACTCTCACTCGTATATATGTCGGAACGGGCCGGATCGGACGACTATATCATATAGCTGCCATAGGAATGATCGGAAAATTTTTACAAAAAAATTTTTAACTTTTTCAGTTTTCAATAGAACTGGATCAAATTTGAGATATAGCCATTTTACTATACTCTACAATTTTGCATAAAATTTTATGAAAATCGGACTACTATATCATATAGCTCCCATAGGAACGATCGAGAAATTAATACAATTAAATTTATAACCTTTTCAGTTTTCAACTGATTTTCATCAAATTTTAGGTATAGGCATTTTATATGAGTCTTAAATTTTGTGTCAAATTTCATGAAAATCGGACTATTATATCATATAGGTGCCATACAGGTATTACTTCATTGTTTTTTAACACAAATATATATCATTTATATTGTATGGTTTTTTATTCATAGAAGTTCTATCTGCAAGGGTATATAAACTTCGGCGTGCCGAAGTTAGCTTTCTTTCTTGTTTAAACTTGGATTTGTTGAACAAATTTTCGCATAAAAATATTAATTATATCGATTCAAAAAATGGTATTATAGTGTTAGTCAGAAGCTTGTAACTTAGTGAAGGAGTCATTTCCGACCCTATAAATCATATATATTCTTGATCAGCATCAACAGCCGCGTTGATCTAGCTATGTCCGGACTATATTTAGTTTTTTCAAAATTTTGAAAATTTTCTAAGGGGTTACATCGTTAAAATTTAAAAAAATTGGCAAAATTTTAAGTTTGTTTAAGTATGCAGATTTAATAACCTAATAAAAACTACCATAGGAACGCTTTTCTAATTGAAATTAATGAATTTTTAGCTTAGTTATGGTATTTGAAAAACTTTGATTTAGCCAAACAAAATAGCATATAAAAATATCGATGTAATATACCTAGAATTAACATATTTTAGGTATACGAAGGTATATATAAACTTAAATCTAGCAAGATTAGCAACCCAAGTAAAAAATTAATGAAAACTGACCTAGAAACTTTTAAATGTGGCTATTATTCTTTAATGAACAATTACTTTAATTATATTTAGATTTCACTAGCAAACTCACCTGTTTTTAGTGTGTGATTTAATGCTGGCACGCCATTGGTGCGCGATGTCATTTTGCTGGGAATGCGCTGCGGCACACTGGCCACCGCCTGGAAAAATCAAATAGAATACATTAAAGGGAGAAAGCTAAGGACAGGAGAAAGGAAAACAGCTCCCAAACCCCCCCAACCTTCGTCACTCATTCGGTGACAAAGTTTCCGCTCGGCGATAAAATCTCATAAATCAAAATCATATTGGGATTTTAGAGCCATGATGCGTGCTTTTTGCAAGTTACAAAGAATAAAAAAATAATACTGAGCTAAGTAAAATTTGAATATCTAAGACTAGAGCGGAGAAACTTATTTGCCAGCCAGCCAAAGTTTTGTAAAACATCCAAAACAAATTGAAGATTTATGAGTTGACAGGACCTGCCTCCGCACCACCTCAGAGCTGCTGATCCTTGAGAAAATGCCTTTAAAATGGCTGTCCCTGTGCGTGCCTGCTGGCGGAATCATTAAACTTCAATTTGAATTGGCATTTGCAGCTGTCGTTAAGTAATGTCTAGACAGCTGCATTAGTTGTGGAAATTAATTAGGTCGTAGCAAAACTTTAAGGCTCTCCAAAAGTGTGTGTCTAATGGCGCCGTAAATCCTTGACCAATCCTTGCTCCCCAGGAGAGAGAGATAGCTAAAGTGGCAGCTTTGCCTAACCGCAACTAAAAGCGTAAATAAATTACGCAAAAAAAGGTGCCAAGAGTGGCTTTTGGAGCACTCACCTCCTCGTCCCCATCGAGATAGTAGTAGAACTGCTGGTTGGGGCTCTGGTACTTTTGCAGCAGCTCCTTGGCCACCCGCAAGGACATCTCGCACTGGACAAACGGATGCTGCAGCAGTCGCTCGGCGGTGGGTCGCTTCTTCGGATTCTTTGTGAGTGCCGTCTTGATGAAGTTGTGAAAGGTGGGACTCCACTTTTCCTTGTTGTTCAGTGTCGGTGGATTAAAGCCCCGCTTGGACATCAAAAAGAGGGCTCGCATCGGATGCAGATCGAACATGGGTGGCTGTAGTTCCGCCAGTTCTATTTCGAGAAATTGATTAATTAGTTTAAATTGGATTATAGGGAAGTTTAAGGTAGCTATAACTCACCAATTGCAGTGATGCCACAGGCCCAAATATCACATAATTGATTGTAGCCGCCTTTACGCTCCACGGCAGCCACTTCGGGAGCCATCCAATAGGGTGTACCTGGGGGTTAAAAGGCGTTCTTTATTATATATATATATATACTAAATAGATTCAATATAACAACTATTATATAAAGAGATTGCATTAATAGCCATGGTTTCTTTTTTTTGCTGGCCCTGCTAATTATGCAGCATTCATGCCGCATTTAATTTCATTGTCATTGCTAGCGATTATATGCCTGTCATTTATTCATTTCATGCCGGCTGTTTTTAATTTAATTAGCATCTTTTTTTTATATACATTATATATATAACTGCCTCCAAATGTGACAATTGTGCAAAAATAAACAAATTGCTGAATTATGCAGAGAGCAAGGTAGTAATCAAAGTCCCCCAACTCTGCCACACATTTTCGGGGTGGCACGTTTTATGAGGGAGGCAAATGCGTCCATTACTCATACGCCATGTTGCAGCGAGTCAAGGAATTTTCGCAACAGCAGTAGCAGCAGCTAACGCCATAGTAACAGCATCTGCTGGAGTAGTTTCACTTGGATGGATGCCTGGATGTGTTGCCCCCGAGAAAATTAATTTTCCTTCCAACGAGAGCCAAGTCGTGGCAGTTAATTGTATTTTCAATTTAATTAAACCACAACGAAGGTGGAAAATCAAGTTTCCTCGGCTCTTTGATATATGGCCAAAAGACTTTTCGAGTTTTCGGTATATCCCTCTGCACCGTCATCATTGTTTCTCCGGGACAAAGTGAACCGGAATCGAACTCCGGGGCTGTACCGACTCTCGAATTCCCCATTGGAACTTTCGCATGCATTTTAATTAAAGGGCAACACAAACATCGAGATACCGAGATACCGAGATACCAATGATACACAAACAAAAACACACACAGAGAGACAGAGGAAAGCAATTTCATCCGCAAAGTGACAGGAGCAGCGGCAGCAACAGCCAGTCAAGTATCATTTTGTTAATTGCTGTTGAACTCAAAAAAAAAGGAGAATAAAAAACGAAGCAAAGTTCAGTTGGAAAAATTAAAGGCGACAGGCAGAAGGCCCAGAATTAAATGGCAACTGGCTTTTAGGCTGCAACTCCTCTCCTCTATTTAAGGCCAAGACGCATTTCCTTCAACTCGCGGCCAGGACCAGGACCAGGCCACGTTCCCTGTGTGTGTGTATTCATCTTTATGGCATAACTGTGGCTGGAATAAGGGGGCGTAATGTGGTGTAAGTGGGTGTGGATGCTCCCTGCCTCCCTGCCCATCGTGTATGTGTGTGTGTGTGTGTGTTGCCATTGACTTGTTAATGACACTAAACACAAACGTAAGCACCTTTTTATTGAATAATAAAAGCGTCAGGCTGTCGCCATTCCAAACGCTCTGCCTCTGTTTCTGTCTGTGTTCTTCTGGCTTTGGACTCTTTTAGAGAGTTTTGTGTTTTTTCTGGGTCTTATGCATTACAAAAACATACAAAAAAATTGATAGTACCTTTGGTAAATCGGGGAAAAAGTGCTGGGTGTTTTGAAATGCCTTTTAAAGGCTCTTAAAAATATTCAAATGGCTTTGAGCTGCTATTGTTTTCTATTTTCTTCAAGGGAGAGGGTTAGAAACATCATTTTAAAGCTGATTTAATAGGAGATTTTATCTTAAAAGCACATCTTAACCATTAGGCTTTATCTCAAACATCTTAAGGGGTTTGAAATGTCCTTTAAAAGGGTCTTAAAGTAGGCTGCGGGAATCACGGATTCCTATTGGGAATTCCTACAACAGATTTAGGGTTGCATTATTACCTTCTTAGTTAGGTTTGGTTTGTTAGAATTTCAATATGTACAAATCTTGCAGGTTTTTATACACTTTTTCAAAGTCTCTAGAGTCTCACCTTCATCCTTAAATAAGCTCCCTCGTATCGATGACATCCTTGTTACAATCGATGGCAGCCCAGCAATTGACTGCCAGCAAAGATGTATGAATGAAGTGTCAGTGATTCGGGAGCTTGACCTCGTGCTCATATATGCAGACAAGAGTCCTGGACGAGGACGAGGTATAGTCTAGGTGGGTGTGGTGTATGTGTACACACTTATCACCACATTTGTCACAGCCACAATGGGTGAAAGCTGAATGGCAGGGAGCTGAAGTGGAGCTCTCACTCTCTCTCCATGTCTCTTGCGGAATGATAACAGTAAGCGGACGTCACATTGTTTGACAGCTTCACACAAAACAGGGAATAGGGAACGAGGAGTAGGAGGAGATAGTGTGCAGGAGGTTGTGGATCCCAGACAGCCTCTCCTGTTCTCCTGCAAATCCCCTTGTGACACTCGCCACACATTGACATGCCACAAAAGATGCTCGCTCAGCTCGAAAACGTCATGAAAATGCAGCCAAAAGTGGCAACAAAGAACAGCTGGAAACAAAGGGGCAAAGCGGCGACCTCAAGGTCGTTAAACTTGCTGCCACACCCCCACTCACTCTGAATTCAACTAACTCTCCTCTGAATGTAAATGTATATATATTTTTGCACAATTTTTTCGCTGCACAAATTGCAGCACATTAATCAGACACAGCAAACACACTATCCTGGACTTGTCCATTCAAATAAATCTGAAATCAAATTAGCGCTCTGCGAGCTTGCTTTATGGCAGCTTTTCGCTTTTACGACAGGACTCGAAACTCTGGAAACTCGCGACTCACGACTCCTCAAAGGACCAAAGCTGGCATTTAAAATTAAACTGCTCGAGCAGGAATAGGAATAAATCCAATTTCGCGTAAATGAAATCAAATCAGATGCGGGTTTTTATGTGCCCCTCTCAAAATGTCATGAACTTTGGACTTGTCTTTGGCTTTTATTAGCGACAGGAGGACACTTGGTCCTCTAATCTCCTCAGCTTCAGTTTTAGCCTTTCTCTTCAGAGAACAAAGACTGAAGGAGAAGGGGGTCAGCTGTCATAACTTAATTAGCTGGCGAGTGTCAAAGGGTTGCGAGAATTTTAATTAAGTGCCGAGCTAGAGCATTTGAAATAATTAATTGTGAGCCGTGGACAGGACTTAACTGATGGCCTTCGTAACCGCAAAATCTCATTTCGCAAAGTCTTCTTGGAACTATGGAAAGTCTTCGGTGGGACAAAAAAAACCGAGATACTGTTGGCTCATGCAAATCATCGTCACTTCGTCTGCTCGTCGCTAGATTGCAAGTTGTCATGACACAACCTTCCCTTATATTATATTATTTTTTCTTGCAGCACATGGCCCCTGACTGATAAGTTGCTATTTACATTTAAATTGCGTATACCACACGTTGGCCCAGCTTGGAGGGTAAGAAAAGTACAATTTAAAGGAGGAAAATGCAGAGAATTCGGGTAAGTCTTTAAAGAAACATGCTTTAGCTAAGAGTTCCTTTAAAACTGGCTCCTAAAACTGGTTATAAAATAATCCAAAGCGGTGATATTATTCCCCCAAGTATTTTTCTCTCTCCCTAAGAGTTGAGAAAATCCTTTCCTTCGTTTTGCAATCTCAGCTTACTGCTGCAGCAAAGCTTGAGAAAAAATTACAAAAAAGATGAAATCTATTAGTGGCCGAAAAAAAATAATAAAAGTAAGCAGCTGAAGTGGAAGGAGCACAAGTAGGGGAGCCTGTTTCTGTCCACAAAAGAAGTAGCCAACAAACTAAGGCGACTGCTCCTCGAATTGGGACATTTTTCAAAAATTATTTGCTTTTGTGCTTCACAGTTTTCGATGGAGGAAGGACGCAATAACAAAGGACTGATGGCAAAACTCCCCATGCTCCATTCACTCCCAGCAGGACGAAGCAAACAAAGACCAGTCTGGGTTGACCACCTGCTGGTTTGGATACTTTTGTCCAGTTAAGAGAGAAGTCCTCCTGCATTTGAAATATTCCGTAAATTGAATTGTTCCCCTCTGGAGCATAGCCATAGCATTTTGATTGTATCTGGGAAGGCATTATAATGCTACTCCTAATTGAATTGCATTCAATTGGAGACGCCATTCAGGGAAGAGAACCACTCGGACGTATACTTGATTTTCCTCCTCAAGCACACTGCTTTTCTCTCTCTCATTCTCGGCTTTCTGTCGGTGCGTGTTATTTGTGTGTGTATTATTTTTGTGCTCTGTCATTTCTGACAGCTGTTTAGAAGCGTTAAACGCAATTGTTGCTCCTGTCAGGACACTCGGCACTCGTTTTTCTGCCCAGATACTTTGCTTTTGTGCACACAAAAACAGGATCTCATAATGATAAACACTTTGTGTGACAGCAGGCAGGCCAAACCTCTCCACCTTTTCCCCCACTCGAACTCTCAGTGTGACTGACTTCCTCGTGGGGCGAGTGTCCTTGATGCAAAACGATTTCGCAGTTTTTTTTTTTGTTCCCCTGGCAAAATGAATGCTGAGTAAGCGGTTTTTCCCAGGGACAACCTGGGAAAATCTATCGATCGATCTGTACAATCTGCATAAATCCACGAGGGGCGATGAGTCTATGAATTTGTTTTTTTGCGGCAGAGATAATTCATTTTTCAACGTACCACAACTTTTCCAATTCGTTTTAAAATTCTTCAGTAAACTTGAAGTCAACTTTAAACTTACCTATGAAGCTCTTCCTTTTATTAATTGTGGCCGTTATTTGCGCCGAGACACCGAAATCCGCCAGCTTGACATCGCCGTATTCCGTCAAAAGGATATTCGCACCCTTGATGTCCCTGTGCATCTTGCCCATGGAGTGCAGATACTCCAGTCCCTTGAGCGTCTCCCGGCACATGTACGCTATCTGGACTTCGGTTAGGGGTCCCGTGACCTGGTATATATCCTGCAGACTGCCACCGCCACAAAACTCCATGCAGATCCATAGCTTATCCCTTCGCAGGTACGATCCATAGTAGGCAATGATATTTGGATGGCGGCAGTCACGCATCATTATGATCTCCTGCTGGATGATCTGTATGTCGTCGGAGGGTTCCAGCTTGATGACCTTGATGGCGGCCAGCTCATTGCTCTGTATCCGTTTCGCCTGCAAGGATAACACAGAAAGAGAGAGACTCAAGTCAATATGCAAGTGAAATGGGGAAAAATAAAAGGTTAAGGGTGAGATTTTTCATTGGCTGCACACCTGCAGCAGCATCTGGGGCACCTTCCTCTCTCCATCCTCTGTTCCTCAGTTCATCTTCGTTCATGCAAATATTCCACAGCTCGTTTTCAATAAATTTTTAGCAAGAGAGAGAGGTAGAGCGAACGCTCCTGCACATAAAAATGCATTGTAACCACTTCACAATTTACCATACCCATCCTATAGGATTCCCCCTTTACCTTCTCCCCTCCAAGTATTTGCATAGAACAATAAGGATGGGTGGAGGGCACCCATAACCCACTACCATTCCCATTTCCATCCGCAATCCGTATCATCGTCGACGTCATCAAGCGGAAACCTGCGAATGCCTGCGAGGAATATTAAAAGGCTGCCAGGCAGAATGCCAACTGGAAATCGGTTACGATTCAAACTGAATAATGAATAATTATGCCCCAAATAAGTGGATGCTGGAGTAGTAGGGATTTTTAAAGAAGTTTAAGCTGGAGGTTTGAGAATTCTAACCCAAAAGTTATTTCCATGTTCAGCTTTAAGCCATAAGCTTAGTTTTGCCTAACAAACTAATTCCTATATCACAAAATAATTTACAACCTTTGATTTGAGGATAAAAAACAGCCATAAATCTCTTGAACACTAAATAAATAACAGACAAAAATTGCCGGCAATTATTTTCAATAAATCCCTGTCTGGTGAGTTGATAAATTTTCATTTTAAACCTATGAAAAATGCATTCAAGCTCACAAATATAAATAAAAACTAAAAGAATATGCGGAAAATTCAACTATTTTTGGATTTAATTAAGATAACAACAGTGTTAGAATTAGTAAAATAAACAAATAAATAAAGGGAAATGTATAAAATGAAGAGGTAAATGGAGTAATCAATTTAAAAATATATTACTTTGTAAACTAACATAGAAATAAAATCATTTCTTGTCTTTTTATAGCGCTTATTTCAGTCTGAAGCTTTAAACACAGTTAAGGAATCATTTCCCACCCTATAAAGTATATATATTCTTGATCAGCATCAAAAACTGAGTCGATCTAGCCATGTTCGGTGGAAATTAATTTTTTTCGTTAAAATTGTCAAAAAATTTGAATTTTTTTACAGATTTATTTACGTAATAAAACTAACATGGGCCTGTTTTCCGAGATGAAATTAATTGTTTTTTGGCTTAGTTATGAGTTTTTAAGCTTTGATTTGTTAAACAAGTTGTCATATAAAAATAATAATATCGAATGAAAAATATGAGATTGTAGTATTAGTCAGAAGCTTGCAACGCAGTGAAGGAGTCGTTTCCGACCCTATAAGCCATATATATTCTTGATCAGCATCAACAGCGCAGTCGTTCTGGCCATGTCTGGTTAAAAAATAATTTTTTGACATTTTTCCGAAAATTGAAAATTTTATAAGGGTTTGACAAAAAATGGAATTTTTTAAATTTGAAAACTGAGCATGCAGCATTGTTAATTTACTAAAAACTAGCATAGAACAGCTTTCCAAATTAAAATTAATGATTTTTTGGCTTAGTTATGAACAAACGCAGTATGCAGATTTGTTAGTGCTTTAAAAACCTGCACAGAAAAGCTCTCCGAATCAAAATTAATGCTATTTTGGCTTAATTATGATGTTCGGAAAACTCCGATTATTTAAGAAAATTGTCAGTTTTTATACCTTTTTGCAGAGTAAAGCTTCAGTCAGAAGATTAAAACGCAGTGAAGGAGTCATTTCCGACCCTATAAACTATATATATTCTTGATCAGCATCAACAGCCCAGTCGTTCTAGCCATGTCCGGTCAAGAAATAAATTTTTGCCATTTTCCCGAAAATTGAAAATCTTATAAGGGGTTACATCATTAAAATTGCCAAAATTTGACAAAAAATTGAATTTTTTAAATTTGAAAACTGAGTATGCAGCATTGTTAATCTACTAAAAACTAGCATAGAACAGTTTTCCGAATTAAAATTAATGATTTATTGGCTTAGTTATGAGTTTTTTTAAACTATGATTTTTGGGAAAAATTGCCTGTTTTTATACCTTTTTGCAGGTTATTATAATTTTAGTCAAAAACTTATAACAGCATCAACAAACGCAGTATGCAGATTTGTTAGTGCTTAAAAACCTGCACAGAAAAGCTTTCCGAATCAAAATTAATGCTATTTTGGCTTAATTATGATGTTCGGAAAACTCCGATTATTTAAGAAAATTGTCAGTTTTTATACCTTTTTGCAGAGTAAAGCTTCAGTCAGAAGATTAAAACGCAGTGAAGGAGTCATTTCCGACCCTATAAACTATATATATTCTTGATCAGCATCAACAGCCCAGTCGTTCTAGCCATGTCCGGTCAAGAAATAAATTTTTGTCATTTTCCGAAAATTGAAAATTTATAAGGGGTTACATCATTAAAATTGCCAAAATTTGAAAAAAATTGAATTTTTTAAATTTGAAAACTGAGTATGCAGCATTGTTAATCTACTAAAAACTAGCATAGAACAGTTTTCCGAATTAAAATTAATGATTTATTGGCTTAGTTATGAGTTTTTTTAAACTATGATTTTTGGGAAAAATTGCCTGTTTTTATACCTTTTTGCAGGTTATTATAATTTTAGTCAAAAACTTATAACAGCATCAACAAACGCAGTATGCAGATTTGTTAGTGCTTTAAAAACCTGCACAGAAAAGCTTTCCGAATCAAAATTAATGCTATTTTGGCTTAATTATGATGTTCGGAAAACTCCGATTATTTAAGAAAATTGTCAGTTTTTATACCTTTTTGCAGAGTAAAGCTTCAGTCAGAAGATTAAAACGCAGTGAAGGAGTCATTTCCGACCCTATAAACTATATATATTCTTGATCAGCATCAACAGCCCAGTCGTTCTAGCCATGTCCGGTCAAGAAATAAATTTTTGTCATTTTTCCGAAAATTGAAAATTTTATAAGGGGTTACATCATTAAAATTGCCAAAATTTGACAAAAAATTGAATTTTTTAAATTTGAAAACTGAGTATGCAGCATTGTTAATCTACTAAAAACTAGCATAGAACAGTTTTCCGAATTAAAATTAATGATTTATTGGCTTAGTTATGAGTTTTTTTAAACTATGATTTTTGGGAAAAATTGCCTGTTTTTATACCTTTTTGCAGGTTATTATAATTTTAGTCAAAAACTTATAACAGCATCAACAAACGCAGTATGCAGATTTGTTAGTGCTTTAAAAACCTGCACAGAAAAGCTTTCCGAATCAAAATTAATGCTATTTTGGCTTAATTATGATGTTCGGAAAACTCCGATTATTTAAGAAAATTGTCAGTTTTTATACCTTTTTGCAGAGTAAAGCTTCAGTCAGAAGATTAAAACGCAGTGAAGGAGTCATTTCCGACCCTATAAACTATATATATTCTTGATCAGCATCAACAGCCCAGTCGTTCTAGCCATGTCCGGTCAAGAAATAAATTTTTGTCATTTTCCGAAAATTGAAAATTTATAAGGGGTTACATCATTAAAATTGCCAAAATTTGAAAAAAATTGAATTTTTTAAATTTGAAAACTGAGTATGCAGCATTGTTAATCTACTAAAAACTAGCATAGAACAGTTTTCCGAATTAAAATTAATGATTTATTGGCTTAGTTATGAGTTTTTTTAAACTATGATTTTTGGGAAAAATTGCCTGTTTTTATACCTTTTTGCAGGTTATTATAATTTTAGTCAAAAACTTATAACAGCATCAACAAACGCAGTATGCAGATTTGTTAGTGCTTTAAAAACCTGCACAGAAAAGCTTTCCGAATCAAAATTAATGCTATTTTGGCTTAATTATGATGTTCGGAAAACTCCGATTATTTAAGAAAATTGTCAGTTTTTATACCTTTTTGCAGAGTAAAGCTTCAGTCAGAAGATTAAAACGCAGTGAAGGAGTCATTTCCGACCCTATAAACTATATATATTCTTGATCAGCATCAACAGCCCAGTCGTTCTAGCCATGTCCGGTCAAGAAATAAATTTTTGTCATTTTTCCGAAAATTGAAAATTTATAAGGGGTTACATCATTAAAATTGCCAAAATTTGACAAAAAATTGAATTTTTTAAATTTGAAAACTGAGTATGCAGCATTGTTAATCTACTAAAAACTAGCATAGAACAGTTTTCCGAATTAAAATTAATGATTTATTGGCTTAGTTATGAGTTTTTTTAAACTATGATTTTTGGGAAAAATTGCCTGTTTTTATACCTTTTTGCAGGTTATTATAATTTTAGTCAAAAACTTATAACAGCATCAACAAACGCAGTATGCAGATTTGTTAGTGCTTTAAAAACCTGCACAGAAAAGCTTTCCGAATCAAAATTAATGCTATTTTGGCTTAATTATGATGTTCGGAAAACTCCGATTATTTAAGAAAATTGTCAGTTTTTATACCTTTTTGCAGAGTAAAGCTTCAGTCAGAAGATTAAAACGCAGTGAAGGAGTCATTTCCGACCCTATAAACTATATATATTCTTGATCAGCATCAACAGCCCAGTCGTTCTAGCCATGTCCGGTCAAGAAATAAATTTTTGTCATTTTTCCGAAAATTGAAAATTTTATAAGGGGTTACATCATTAAAATTGCCAAAATTTGACAAAAAATTGAATTTTTTAAATTTGAAAACTGAGTATGCAGCATTGTTAATCTACTAAAAACTAGCATAGAACAGTTTTCCGAATTAAAATTAATGATTTATTGGCTTAGTTATGAGTTTTTTTAAACTATGATTTTTGGGAAAAATTGCCTGTTTTTATACCTTTTTGCAGGTTATTATAATTTTAGTCAAAAACTTATAACAGCATCAACAAACGCAGTATGCAGATTTGTTAGTGCTTTAAAAACCTGCACAGAAAAGCTTTCCGAATCAAAATTAATGCTATTTTGGCTTAATTATGATGTTC